GGCACTAAAATAAAAAAAAAAAAAACAGGGTGATGCAGGTGTCAAAAATATTTGATATGTCATATTTCGGACGTTCTAGTGAAATTTTACATGGGTCATTCAATATAAAATCTATCAATTAGTTGCGTAGTAAAAAAATAAAGAAATAGTTATAATAAATACATAAAAAAATGAAATATTAATATATATATATAAATTTAATCAACGTATTTCATCATTGAAATGACAAGAAAATGAAGATAAACACTAAAACAATAAATAATATACTTTACGATGGAATATTCATTATGGAACTTATTAGTAAAACGTAATTCTATGTTTAGCGAAATATAATAATGATTATACATATATTTTTGACGAGTGAACATTGTGTGTCAAAATGCGACGTGGTAATAAAAAGAATGTGAATAATATTCTTTTTATTCTCTTGTCTATGACCGCACAAAAGCTTCCTCATGGTTGTGGTTTTTTTTTGCATATAAAGCTTTGACATTTATTGCATATTTGTATCTGTCAGTCTTGAAAATAGTAATAGTAAATACTATAATAGACATTTGATGTTAGTATATGTCCAACCTTCAAGATATATCTTGAATGCAATTCCCATACAAATCCTTTGAGCATTGGTTATATTCTCGCGCATAATATAATATATATAAAGCTACCTTACCTACGCATGCATGAAAGTAACAGCGTGCACCTGATTTTCAGCCACTTCAATTTCATTTTATGTGATTTACAATGAAACATTTATGTATCATTGCAAACCTCCACTTTCAGTAGCCATTCACATATACATATATATATATATATATATACATTGAATCAGTTTCTTGATTTCATTAGACGAGATTAGCTCAGAGAAGAAGGAATCATTTTTCTATACACTATATACTATATATGGGGCATTCCACGTGAGATTTTCATTCAAAAATTACTTTTTGACTTGAGCATTTTTTTCCGAAATTTTTATGAAAAATATGAAAATACGTAGTTTTTGATTGGATAAAAAATAATCTATCTATATTACCCCCCTACAGCACCGAAACTTTTCTATAGATTTCCTAAAGATTTATATGAAATGTTTGGAATATTTAATTGCAATGTTTAATGAAAATTGTGTAAAGATTTAAATGTCTCACTTGAATAAATGTTTAAAAAAGTTTCACACTAAACATTTATTTAATCGGGACATTTAAATCTTTACACAATTTTCACTAAACTTTGCAATTAAATAGTCCGAACATTTCAAATAAATCTTTAGGAAATCTTTAGAAAAGTTTCGGTGCTGTGGGGGACAAAAAGATCTCGCCGTCACCGCACTGCCTTACAGATTAAAAATAGATCGCAAATCACATTGTCACTTAGGTCGTCATTACTATAGTATAAACCATAGCAATCATTTCCATAGAAACCATTACCATAGCAACCGTTATTCCATAGCAACCATTACCATAGCAACCGTTTACATAACAACCATTACCATGGCAACCGTTTCCATAGCAACCATTACCATAGCAACCGTGTACATAACAACCATTACCATGGCAACCGTTTACTTAGCAATCGTTTACTTAGCAACCATTACCATGAAAACCGTTTCCATAGCAACCATTACCATAGCAACACAGAAAATTATAAGGTATTAAGGAGGTTCATCCCAAAATCGATTTTCTATAGATTTTTTAAAAATTTTTAAGATGTATTATTGACATCACTTTACATGTGTTTTTCAAATTTTATTGAATTTTACCGTATCATTTTCAAGATAAAAATTGATAAAGTTTGAAGTTTTACATGGGAACAGTGAAAAAACATGAAAAATGACCATGTTTTCATTAATTAAAAAAAAAACGGTTCTACAGATTTTTTTAAAAAACTAATATGTTTTAAATTATGAGTTTTAACAGTTTTTACAAAAATGTGAAATTTTTTTACCGTTTGGTTGTGAAGTAAATGTTAATCAAAATTAGCAACTTTTGAACTTATCCCATGTAAATAAAAGAAAGAAGAGGAGAAACGGCAACATAACCTCTAAATTGGCCAGTGGAGCTCAACTTTTATGGACTATAGCTGTCGGTTTTAAACTTACGGAAAACCCCTAATAGAATGAGTACCGCTTGAAGGGATGAACCTCCTTAATACTTACTATTTTAATCCAATTTTGCTTATTTTAATATCAAAATGGATTAAAATAAGCAACATTGTATTAAAATAATAAGCGTTGCAGTTTATTTTAATGCCTTTTAATTTTCTGCGTGAACCATAGCAATTCACAAATAATGTAATTATAAATTATTTATTATATACAAATAACTTTTGATCTGAATATAAAAAGCCACGAAACCCTAGATGTAGGCACTTTGCGCCTGCTTCTTTTCCTGATTTTTAGGTTATGTTATCAGATTTGTTATTATTTTCTCCCTAAAGATCAAGAACTTATAGGTTAAAACAAACAAACAAATTATAGAAGGCTACATAACCTTAAAGTTTGTTTTTATTTTATATAAATTAAGTTAACTTATAATTTTGTTACATATCACTTAACTATTAGCAATTATGAGTACGTTTTCATTTTTCAAAATTACAAAATGCTGATTTGGGGAGGGAGATCCAAAATCCTTGAAAATATGCTTAAATAATACTTGAATGACCCCTAAATTGTATATGTTACATAATAAAAGTATTTATAACTGAAAGAGACAGAATAAGTAAAAATCAACTTTTATAGGTTATATGTATAGCCTTTTAATTTTCCGGCTTATAAATTTACAGCGTGAAGATAATTTTTTTTACTGCGTGGGACGCGTGGTCATTTTTTCCATCGTTCTCCCACGTTGTAACCCAATCAGCACGAAAACTTATGCAAGAAGCTTGCCGTGCAAGATGTGCAAGATTACAATGCAAACATATAAGTAGCAAGTTTGGTGCAAGCAACAAAATGTCCTCTTGTGGCAAGCTTGCAGAACAACGTTGGCGCAAGCTTGCTGCAAGTTTGCAAAACTTAATACGATGCGCAGTTGTAAACGAATGCTCCTTATACGGCTGCGCAATAAATTTTTTAACCTTCAAAGCAGGGTGCCCTTTATGTTTATTTAGTAACAAATTGTTTCGAAAAATTTTTTTTTATTATTATACAAGCTTGCAGCAAGTGCTTGCGCAGTATGTACACTGGATTTCTTTTGTGTGTAGATTAAAGACGAACATAACCTAAAAGTTCAATGTTAGATGTCAAAAACATAGGTTAAAATGAACATAACGTCAAAATTAAAGGTCGTGAATATAGCCGCAAGTCTATATCCTTTTATCTAAAAGTGCATTGCCATCTATACATATATATGAGGCATTCGCTGAGAAAAAACCATCCCAAATTTAAAGTTGTTGAATATTAATATAATATAATTTATAATAAGAAAAAAGTTATATTAAACCAACAAGTGCCAGAAATATAGTAATTAGCAGAAGAAGAAGAAAAGAAAAAAAAATAAGAAGTAGAAAAAAATAATAACAAATATCAGTAAATGAAAAAAAAAATGACATAATTATTATAGATGAAAAACCGTAACGGCGAAAAAGAAATAATAATGATGCTCAGGAAGAAAATTAAACAATGGTAATAATTGGTAAACCAACAATTAAAAGAGAAAAATGTAATAATAAAAGTAAATAATAGAAGTAGTTGACTGTTATTTTTTTTAAATTCTTCCACCATAAATAAAATATTTCACTATAAAAAATAAATAAAAAAAATTGAATAAACAAAAATTCAAATTTCTTATTCTACTTCTTATTTATCAATTTATTATGATGTAAAATAAAATATATTATATTATATATGAATGAATGAAACAAATCAGAATGAATTGAAAGAAAACAAGTGCACATGTTCTTGAATCACGAACGTTTCTCTTTAAGATTATTATAAAAGCAGTCAACGTTCCATAGACTGATTGCCCTAATATTTTTCCTCGGCGGAACGTATTTCTCCTTCCGACTTCCTCTTTTGAAGACATTTTAAGGAAATAATATACACACAGTATTAACACGTGCATTAAAACAAGTCTTGCGTGTCTATTTGAAAGATTTTTTTTCATTTCAAAAACTTTTATGTAAGAAAATTCTTCTTATTCCGTTGTCGGTAAAGAAGAAATTTTAAACGATGCTGATTCACTTTAGAATCAACTTAAGATAAAATAACACGCACTCGATAAAAAAAAAAAGAACCGACGATAAAAAAGAAAGTTATCTTTTTTAGAAAACAGTTATCAACCGATGTTATACAAATTATTTGAAATTATTATTTTCAATTGAATGAAGCTTCTACTATGTATTTTTTTTGGTAAATTTATTTTTTGTCCCTTTATTTAATTTATTTTTAATAATAATTAAGAGTACAATATTTTTTCACTGATTTAAATTTATTGCTGCCATAAAAAATTGAGATTTATTTTCTTATTTTTATAATGAAATAATTATTAATAATATTTAGCTACCAAATTTTTGTTTTGGTAGAATTTTTATTTTATAGTCATTTAATTTACATGACTTTTTATTTAAAAGGAATTTTTTAATTTAGCGCAGAATTCTCGCATTCAATCAAATATGTGATTCAAATTTTTAAATGACAGAAATTACAATTCACCGAATTTTTATTTGTACAAATTTTTAAGACGCCGAATTTTTTATTTCTCCGAAATTACAAATGACCAAACAAATAATCGACAAAATGATTGCGTCGCAATTTTTAAAATTGATCAATTGGAAATTATCAATAAAATCGTGATTGGTTTCGAAAAAATTTTGAACAAATGAAAATTCGGCGTCTTAAAAATTCGTAAAAATTAAAATTCAGTGAATTGGAATTTCTATATTATTTTCTTTTATTTTCGAATTTTTAAATACATTTAAAAATTCAAAAAGAAAATGACTGTAAAATAAAAATTCGGTTTATTTTTCATAATAGGGATTAATTTACAGACTATAACTCAAATTATAAAATGTTTATAGTTGATAAATTTATTGTGTTTATTGTTTTAAAAGTAGAAAAAAAAAATTTATTTTTTGTTTTATTTTCTTGAATCACTTTTGAATGATATAGAAACATTTACTGTACATTTATATATGTCATAAAAAAAATGAGAAAAAAATATTTTATAATATACGTATATCTATATATTTTAAATAAAAAAGAAAAAAATTTCAACCTGCTGCAGGTGCAGGTAAAACAACTCGTCCTGCAAAAAGTATATTATTTGATTCAATGTCCACTAAGCTAAATAAAAATGGACGATTTGCTCTAAATGCTTGCAATGAGGGAGTCATCAATGGCACAACTGAAATTGCTGAAAATAGAAAAATTTTCTCTAAATTTTTATTCCCTCAAAATTTTTTATCAAAAAATAAATCATATTTTTAGAGTTTCGTGGCCCAGGCCTTAAAAGCCTTATAATTTCGCTATGGCGTCCGTCCGTCCGTCCGTCGTACAGCCCATCCTCCCCATTTAGGGTAAATTTTGTCTATTTCGAACTTTTTTTGTCTAGCAACCGTTATTAATTGTAAGGATTTTTTTCCTTAGCAACGGTTGCTAAGAATTTTATTAATAATTAAGTAATATTATAATATCGGCCACGAAACCCTGCGATGGAGGCAACCATGCGCCTGCTTTTCTACTCATATTTTAAAATTTATATTTTCAATTAAATTAATTTGAATCGCAAATGAATATTAATTTTAATAATTAAATAATACCTGTCGCTGCAGCAGCAATGGTTCCACTTTCATTTACTTCAATTTTTGCATTGTGAAGTACACTATTAACTTGAGTTGCTTTTTTCGTAATTATTCTAGATAAATTCGCTTTGGTATCAAATAAATCTTTGATACCGAGCTAAAAAACAGAAAATTTACATAAAACCATGATAACTTTTAAAAAAAACTATTTTAACCCTTTGAGGCATAGTGACATCCGATGTCAGTTTTTCAAATTTCAAAATGGCGGATCCAATATGGCGGATGATAAATGAAAATTTTATCGGATTTGCCTGAAACTTGTTACTTGGGAATTTTCTGGGTCACTGATTACGAATCTGGCACCGGTTTTTGAAAATTCCAAATGGCAAATCTAATATGGCGGTTGACAAAATGAAAAAAAAATCTTTTAAATTTCAAAAATCCAATATCATATTCGTTATCAGTGACCCCAAAAACCCCTGAGTAACAAGTTTAAGGCAAATCCGATCAATTTTTTTGATTTTTTCATCCAGCGACACTGAAAACCTCCGAGTAACCAGTTTAGTGCGGATTTAATAAATTTAAAAAAAAATTGTCCGCCATATTGGATCAGCCATATTGAATTTTGAAAATTTGAAAAATCTGACTTCAGATTCGTAATCAGCGATGAATTCCTGTTAATGAAAAATATATGCTTCAAAGGGTTAAAAAAGAAAAGAAACAATTTCATTTCAATTTTTTAAAAATATTTTTTGTTCTTTTTCATTTTTTCTTTCACAAAAAATAAAATTAAAAAAAAAAAAACGCAATTACTTACATGTTCAAGAGCTGAACGTAAATCTAATTTATTCTCAATGCTAAATCTTGGAAGTTGAAGTAAAATTTCAGTATCGAGTAAATTTTTGAATAAAGTTGTAATTGAAATATAAGAGAGATCTTTCGAAAGAATTTGTAGAGCATGTTCTCCTTGTCTAGCGGGTAGCAAAAGAAGCATTGAAATCTTTCCACCCTATATTAAAGAAAAATTTCATTCTATTATTATAATTACTGCAAAAGTTTGCAAACAAAAATATATAAATATATAAAAAGACCATTTATTTTTTACCCAATTATATCGCTTTAGCGTTATTTTTTTCGTAATGTTAAAGTTTCAAAAAAAAAAAAAAAAAAAAAAACGACGCTAGTCCGTGATTTAATTATATATACGCCCACCAGCACCGAAACTTTCCTAAAGATTTCTTAAAGATTTGTTTGAAATATTCGGAATATTTAATTGCAATGTTTAGTGAAAATTGCGTGTAAAGATTTAAATGTCCCACTTGATTAAAATGTTCAGGAAAGTTTTACACTAAACATTTATTTAATCGGGACATTTAAATATTTACACAATTTTCACTAAACTTTGCAATTAAATATTCCAAAAATTTCAAATAAATCTTTAGGAAATCTTTAGGAAAGTTTTCGGTGCTGTGGAGGTATAAATATATTTCTTTTTTTTATATACCGTGTAAGGAACTTCAATGACTTCTGCGTCTAATGATGGAAGAAAACCGTAACGATATTTTCCAATACTCTCCATCATGTGAACTTCTTGACAACCATTTTTGAATGTTTGAAAACATCGCGGTCGTGTTTGTTTTTTATCGAATGCATGAAGCCATGCTCCTTTGAAGTAAATTGCATTCGTTATTAATAATTGACTCGCGGAATTTAAATTGCCTGAAAAATATTTGAAAAACTTTAAATTCTCTATTATTTCCCTATTCATTTATTAAATTTATTATTATTATTTCTTTCATTTTTATTATTTTTTTTTATTTTTATTATTTTAAATTAACAACTATCATAAACATAACCTAAAATTTTTTTTGCCCCTTTTTTCAGAACGATTTATTACAAAAAAAAAATAAATTTTCTCTGAAACAGCGATATATTTCTCTAGAATAGCGAAAACTTTCGTTGTTTTAGTGAAACATATCGCTGTTATTTCAGGTGAAGATTTTTTTTCCGTATAATTAATAATTGACCAAGTAGCACGTAATATTACAGTAATATTACAGTGATATTAAAATGTCCGCCTCATGGTAATATTACTGGATAATGTTACTGTAATATTACACGGTAATATTAAGCCATTATCACTGTAATATTACAGTAACATTACAGTAATATTATACCGTAATAATAAAGTAATAATACACGAGAATATTGCAGTAATATTAGAAGAATATTATTTCACGAAAAAAATGTAACCAACCGGGGAATCGAACCCCAAACTCAAGGCACACAAGTCCAGAGTTTTACCAACAAGCCACACTGAATTACAATATATTTATCATTCTGATGCTTTATGAGTAACTCAAATCAATCTTTAATATTACGGTAACATTACAGTAATATTACTCGGCGGTAATATCACCATCAGGCGAACATTTTAATATCACTGTAATATTTCAGTAATATTATCCAATAATGTTACTGTAATATTACAGTAATATTACGTGCTAGTTGGATGGAAAATTTTAACCTAGTTAATAATTTTTATATTTAACCCTCGGAGCACATACTGGGTCACACAGACCCTGTCATTAATTTCAATGAAGTGTAATTTGAAAAGTCCGCAATACAACACGAACCTAAGGCCATATAGTGGTAACTAACTAATAAGGAATAATAAGTAACACACGCTAAAAAAAACTTTGTATAAACTAGCGAAAATAATCTCTGGAATAGTTATAAGTATAGTTAATATCGCCTTAGCGATAATCCATTTTCACTAGAATAGAGAAAATAAAATTTTCTATGAGATTTAACTATACTAAATATATATTATAAATAGAATATAAATACAGTATCTCTGAAAAAGTATTTATTTTAACTATCATGGAGATATTCAATTTCCTTAAGAAAATGAAAATAGTGAATATTTTAGATATTGTTAAACGTTATAATTGAGTAGCTGCCTGCAATAACTCGCCGAGCGCTTGGCCGATCGCTCTAACGCCAGTCAAACGTTCAAAAACGTGAAAAAAATGAAAAATCAAAATTTTGATTTTTGAAAAGTGCAATCTTGTAGGACATAAGATGGCGCATCTTTTTTTCCTTTGAGTTTCTTTTGTAGATCAAAAAATAGAGTTAATATATGCAAAACACTTACAAATTTTATTTCACAAATTTCATTCAATTTTTAAACATAAATCATAGTATCTTTGACAAATTTCAATGAATCTTATTGAAAATTAATATACATACGTATTTAGGTCCATAGAAGACGACAACATAATCAAAAATATTAAAATCATCAATTGTTTATTTATAATTAATTTTAAATGAAGACTTGTCAATAATAATGTTTACTTATCTTTGTCGACATAAAGTGTGTGGGGAACTTCAGAGTTGAAGAAACTTCCAGTGAGATATTTGTTTATCATAATGTAAGGAAGTTTTTTGTAAAATTGAAAAACAATTTATCAACAACTTTAGAAAATATAAAACGTTTAAGAAAACATGCGCGACGCGCTAGCGAGTCTCCGCGCGGAGAATTGCAAACAAGAGTTGTAGAGGACCAAAAATACAGAAACAAATATTGTCACTACATTCTTAGAAATGTTTTTCAAATAAAATATGTGTTAATTTTATGAAAATGCAAATTAAATTTGAACAACTGTTTTTTTAATATTTACTAAATAATCAATAGTTTTAAAATATTTTGGTGCTTGTATGTACTGTTTGTGCAATTTGCAAATAAGTTTTTTATTAATTAATATTAAGGTATATCTTTATTTTCTGTTTCTTCATTTTTTTAAGAAATTAGTGTATTGTTACATATCAACAGTGATAGTATGTTGGCTCCATTTTCAAAACATAATATATCAGAACATAACATAACGTCCTTCTTAACTCTTGTGTGCAATTCTCCGCGCGGAGACTCGCTAGCGCGTCGCGCATGTTTTCTTAAACGTTCTATATTTTCTAAAGTTGTTGATAAATTGTTTTTCAATTTTACAAAAAACTTCCTTACATTATGATAAACAAATGTCTCACTGGAAGTTTCTTCAACTCTGAAGTTCCCCACACACTTTATGTCGACAAAGATAAGTAAACATTATTATTGACAAGTCTTCATTTAAAATTAATTATAAATAAACAATTGATGATTTTAATATTTTTGATTATGTTGTCGTTTTCTATGGACCTAAATACGTATGTATATTAATTTTCAATAAGATTCATTGAAATTTGTCAAAGATACTATGATTTATGTTTAAAAATTGAATGAAATTTGTGAAATAAAATTTTTAAGTGTTTTGCATATATTAACTCTATTTTTTGATCTACAAAAAAAACTCAAATGAAAAAAAGATGCGCCATCTTATGTCCTACAAGATTGCACTTTTCAAAAATCAAAATTTTGATTTTTCATTTTTTTCACGTTTTTGAACGTTTGACTGGCGTTAGAGCGATCGGCCAAGCGCTCGGCGAGTTATTGCAGGCAGCTACTCAATTAATCTATTAAATAGATTTCCTTATTCTATAAATATTGTACTTTTGTTATGTTACTGTTCATAAATTTTTTAATGCATGATAATCCAAAGAAAATAATAAAATACTGGTAAATATGTTATTAAAAAAGTATAGTTTTAAAAAGTTGTGTCGAAAATCACATTTTTATCGTCTTAAAAGTTACCTTCGTTAAACCACAAAATAAATACCTTTTTTAAAAAATAAAATAAGGTGGTATTTTTTCCCTTATTCTAACACACTTCGAGAATATAAATCCCAATTTTTAACTTAAAATATTAAAAATTACAAAAGTTACATTTTTTTTTTAAATTCAATTTTTTCTTTTTAATTAGTTAACTTCACGAATTTTTTTTCAATATGCAAATAATTTAATAATATTTCTAAACTGCATATTCTTATTTTACAAGGTTCAATGAATAAAAAAATATTTTTTTTGTGTTGATCAGTCCAATAGTTCAAAAATGAGGGAGTTTTGTAAAGTAAACAGGGTCACAGCGACCCAGACTGTGCTACTTGTTCGAAAAAAGAGGTGTGTGCTCCGAGGGTTAAAAAAATTATTAAAAAAATTTCTAGAACACGCGCGAAACAGAAATTTATATAATAAATTAATTTCAAATTACCTGATTCAACTATTGATGTTATTTGATTTTTCGTTGACAATTTGACCCAATTATTAATATTTTGAGCTGAATTCACAGTATCCTTAAAATCGAGAGAAAACACTTGACTGTTATAATTTTTCACTAAATTTTCCTTATATTCATCAGACATAATGACATCATTTGCCGTCCAAATTGCCGTGGCCATTGTTATTTCAGTATTATTTATTCCACTTTTTTGCATTGTCTATAATTGTTGTAAATAATTAAATTTAAAATTTTATATATTAATTTCAAATTACAAGTTTGACATGAAAAATAATAAATTTCTTCAATTTCCCTATAACTTCCTTGACAAAAAAAAATTTTTTCTTTAACTTGTGGCTACCCTGGAATTATATTATCGTCAATTGAGGCTCTATTCTGGTACCATACAACATTAAAAATAATTATTATACGAAAATTTATTTCCTAATAAGTAAAAAAAAACTCCTGTTCTTTAATTTTATACATAAATTACTTATTTTTGTGTCAGAAAATTGATAATAGTTTATAATTTTACAAAGGGTACAACATAACCTCAAAAAGTAACATTATTAATTTTGCATGGTTTTCAAGTTAATTTAAAAACTGTTTGTTTTAAAATATCTCAAAAAAATAATTGTAGACCTTATTAAGTTATTTATAATTAGCTTAAAATGTGTCAATTTGGAAGTTTTAGAAAACAATAATTCCTAACTTAGTTAGGAAAAGTATTTAAATGTAGTTAAAAATATTTCCATACAGTTTGATTAGGAGGACAAAAATTTTTATTTTATTTTATGAACAAAAAACAAAGTTTGTACCACAATAGCCCCAACCACAGGGCTATTATGGTACAAACTTTAAATCTATTACATAAAATCAGATAAAAATTTTTTTCTATTAAAACTTGGAGGAAATTTTCAGAAGGATGTCCACAACACGACTATAAATATAGTTTAAAATATTTTTCTATAAAGATTAAAATTTTAGTTAAGCATATTGAACAAGAAAAAAAATTAATGAAAACTACAAGAAATATTTTTTAGGCAAAAAATTATAGAATTTTTCATTTTTAAAAATTATTTCTTTAAAAATCGTTTATCATAAATGTTGCGAACTTTAGCTTCGTCATAATAGCCCCGCTAGAGTGGTGATAAAATTTTATTGATTAAAAATTCGAGAATTGAAAATTTTTTTTTTCTTACTGTAAAAGGACTGAGTGTACGTTTCACAGCTTCTTTGATACCATAATCATCAACTGGTAATCGTAAAGTAGACAAAAGTTGTTGACGAGTTAGCCCTCCACTTCCTTCTGCAATTGTCATAAGTGCTGCCTTTACACCTGCCGGTGCCAATACCAAATTTCCCTCAGAATGATCACATAATTCCTATATTTAAAAGAAAATGATTTCTTTTTACATTATAAAAATTGATGTAAAATATTTTCAAATATATTTTAATTAAGGCCATGTGAGAAATACCCACGTTAACCCCATGCAAAAAACATGGTATCGTATTACCAAGTTTTCTCTAAAATGGTAAAGAATTTTTGGTTGAAATTTGTAAAATATGATAGAGAATAGCATTCAGAATGGCGCTGTTCTCGATTTGAAGCAATATTTTGCGTTTAAGTATTAAAAATAAAAGTTTGAAAATTCCCATTTTTGAACGAAAGTTGAAGTCAACATGGCGGGGGTACACACAGACGTTGCGTGAATGTATCAGTGGTCCAGGAACTAGCGCCAATTCGAGTTTGTGGCCGCTCAAAGAAATAACAAAAACCTATTAATTCCACTATTAATTACTTTTTTAAATTATTTCGCATTAAATTACAGTAAATAAGTAGAACGGCCCAATTCCTTCAACCCTTTTTTATCATTCCTCAAAATTTCAACCCGAAATTTCTTCTCACTTTCGAGAATACTTGGAACTACCAAAAAGTGTCTTTGTCTCACATGGCCTTAAACATTTTAGTTTAGTTTTATTTTTTATTTAAAAAAAAAAAAAAAATTATTTCAGTTTTTGTTTCATACTTTGGGGACGCGACAAAATTTTTCTAATTGTGAAGTTAGCAAATTTTTTTATTAGGTGTGGGTACTTATATTTATTTATAACTAAAAAAAAGTTAATAAATTAAAATAAAAAAAGGAAAGTTAATTTTATCTATAAATAAAGTATATGGGTACTTATTTTATTTAAAAATAAAAAAGTTAATAAATCAAAAGAATTAAAAAAAAAGTTAAGTTTATATAATTAAATAAAGTAGGTGGGTATTTATTTAAAAAAAAAAAATGATTAAATAAATAAAAAAAGAAATTTACCTGAAGCAATTCTATGTTGAAAATATTGTGCCGTTCTTCAACTCCTGGAGGTTGCGTTGATACTGAAATAATAATTAATTAGTGTAATTACTATAATATATATTAGCTAATTGTTAACAATTATATGTTTTTTCTACTTTTGAGAATGATAATTTTTGTATATAAGAATTTAATTCATCAAATCGAAAAAGTGTAACAAACCTGTAAATCCATTTTTATACACAAAAAAGAAGTATAACTCAATGACTGATATCTTCAACATCTTTTTGAAAAAAATTTTCTGTTTTTTTTTTCATTAAATAAAATGTCATAGGGTCAGTTGGGGTAAATGGAGACAAGAGGTTTTGGAGCTTAATTTACAGTTTTAAAATTAAGTTCAACGTCAATATTTTAACTTTAGATCACCTGCAAGAGATTTTGAGTATTTTCAAGCTTTTATCTTGACAATTGGCAGCAAGATAAAAAAAAAGTTATCGCTCAAAGCTTAAAAACTTGAAAATCAAAGTCAAACAGTTTCAGTATTTTATCGAGCATTTAAAAAAATAAACCCGCAAATATTACCTTTTAAAGGAAGAAACTTACGCAATTTGTGAAAAATAGCGATTTTGTCCCCATTTACCCCAACTGATCCTATATATAATATTAATCAATATAAACCTGTGAATTATGTCAAATAAAAATTGGTTTTTAGGCAATTTCATTGAAATTATTTTTAAAAATAATTTCTTAATGTCGATTTTAATTTATTTAATTATTTATTTATTATTAATTTAATAAATTTATTAATTAAAATTTAATAATTTTAATTTAAAGGTTATGTTCGTTTCAAGACTTTTTAATAATTTATTGGTTTTTAGTCAATTTCATTGAAATTATTTTTAAAAATAATTTCTTAATGTCGATTTTAATTTATTTAATTATTTATTTATTATTAATTTAATTAATTTATAATTAAAATTTAATAATTTTAATTTTAATAATATTTATTCAGATTTCAATGAATTTGTAATAATAATTCATTGAAATAGGTGTTTCATTTGGAAAAATAAGGTCAATGGAAAATTAAAAAAAAATGATTAAAACAGGGGGGTTGGCGCGCGTAGCGCGCAGGGGGGCCTAACCCCTCTAGTATATATATATATATGCAGGGTGTCCCATTTTAATCTATCAGGCGAAATAACTTTTAATCAGTTGATTTTACAAAAAAATGTTTTAGACAAAAGTTATTGTGCTCACAGGGGGACATCCAGTGGTAAACTTGAATTTGACCTAAATGACCTAATTTAGGTCATTTCAAGGTCAACTCATTTTTTTTAAATGGAACCACCTACTTTTTATGCCGGAAATCGATAAAGCAGGAAATTCCACGTCGAAATCGTTGATGCACTTTTTTTCGATAGATCAACCTATTTAGGACAAATAGGTCATTTAATTATTATTGTATTTGGGGAAATAACTTTAAACTAATTAATTTTACAAAAACATGGTTCAGTCAAAAGTTGTTGTGCTTAAAGGAGAATATTCAGTGATGACCCTAAATTTGTCCTAAATGACCTTAATTAGGTCATTTCAATTTCAACTCATTTTTTTTAAACCATCTACTTTTCATGTTACAAAGCGGAAGAGCAGGAAATTCCACGTTGAAATCGTTCAAGTACTTTTTTCGACAGGTCGACCTATTCAGGTCAAATAGGTCATAATTAATTTCACCTACAAGGCCTTGGTTAGATCTAATCTATGTCAAATAATTTTTCACGAAGAAAGATCAAGTTTTTATACAAGGAATCGTCAGGGCAAGAATTTTTATGTAAAAAACACTAGACCCAACTGAGGCCTTGTAGGTGAAATTGATTATGACCTATTTGACCTGGATAGGTCGACCCGTCGAAAAAAGTACTTGGACGATTTCAACGTTGAATTTCCTGCTCTTCCGATTTGTAACATTAAAAGTAGATTGTTTTTAAAAAAATGAGTTGAAATTGAAATGACCTAATTAAGGTCATTTAGGACAAATTTAGGGTCATCACTAAAAATTCCCCTTTAAGCACAACAACTTTTGACTGAAACATGTTTTTGTAAAATTAATTAGTTTAAAGTTATTTCCCCAAATACAATAATAATTAAATGACCTATTTGTCCTAAATAGGTCGATCTATCGAAAAAAAGTGCATCAACGATTTCGACGTGGAATTTCCTGCTTTATCGATTTCCGGCATAAAAAGTAGGTGGTTCCATTTAAAAAAAATGAGTTGACCTTGAAATGACCTAAATTAGGTCATTTAGGTCAAATTCAAGTTTACCACTGGATGTCCCCCTGTGAGCACAATAACTTTTGTCTAAAACATTTTTTTGTAAAATCAACTGATTAAAAGTTATTTGGCCTGATAGATTAAAATGGGACACCCTGTATATATATATTTATTTATAAATATAATGTTAAAATGTTTAAACAAAATTTGGTAAATAAATGTCAATATAAAAAAATTTATTTGATTCAAATAATCAGTTTAGCAAATAAATATATTTATTGGATAATTAGTTAAACACTCAATAATAATAATCAATAATCAATAAGTAATGTTAATATGTATTATTATTACACTGAAAAAAAGGTTTGGTATTAACAACCAAACATTTGATTGGTATTTAAGAAACCAAAATTTTTTTGTTGAATCAACAAAATTTTGGTTTTCCCAATCAAACTTTAGTTAGGATAACAAAAATCATTTTTTTTTTTCTAATTTTGGTTGTGTGAAACCAATTTTGATTGAGACAATTAAAATTTTGTTGATTCATCAAAAAAATTTTGGTTCCTTAAATACCAACCAAACGTTTGGTTGTCAATAACAAACCCTTTTTTCAGTGTATTATTAATATTATTATTATTGTTATACTATATATTATTTTTAATTAATTATTATTGCTCAAAAATGTAATTTTATTAATTAGTAACTTCCAGGATTAATTAACTAATTAATTAATAATTAATTTAATTATAATTATATTTATGAAAAATATCGCATTATACAAATTAGATAAATATTATGATAATAATAAATTTCGCCAGATGATAAAAAAATGAAATTGATCTAAATATTTTTTCATAACTTCAATTTTGATTTTTTAAAGCGCACTAAAATAATTTATTGATATGAAATCTTTATAACATGTGTTCCTGTTTCTGTAAATATGTATTTATGTCTGTGTGAAGAGACAAATAAAAGAGTTAATTTCAAGGTTTCCTTTGTATATTTATAAAAAGTGTAAATTCTTTGTCTATTCACAATTATATAAAGATATACATAGAGAAGATGAAACATTTTTAAAATCAACCATATATATATAGAGAGAGAAAGGGAATAAAAAAAAGGAAACATATATGGAAACTGTATTTTTGTTTCTCTCTTTCTCTTTTTTTTCCATATCATTTAATTTAATTAGAAAACGTCTAATCTGAATATTTTAATGTGATTCAGACGTTCAGTGAACTTTTTGCGGATGCTTGATTATTTTTGAATAACTGGTTGTGTCAGAGATCATAATCAGAAGGACATTATGGAAAGTCCCAAAAAATTATTCTATTGCGAAAACGTCCATTCTATTTTATGTCATCGTGTTTCATTTTTATCTGATAGAATTTTTTTTATATATAATACCTATATATGTATATATTTAGAAATTTTTTTTTTATGCAATTGAAATTCTTTTGTAATTGTGTTTTTATTTTCGTTTTTAAATATAGAATTAAAATTTTAAATTCATTTATAATTAAATAATTAATTTAATTTAGAATTTTTTTTTTTATTACATTATTATTGTTAATATTTAGTTTAAAAATTAATATTAATAATTATTTTTATTAAAAGAAAATTACAAATTAGTGTAAATTATACATAATGAGGGAAATTTGAATTTATTCAAAAATAAAAAAAATTTCAATCACTATTTTTATTTGATTATTGTTTAATTGTAATTAAATTAAAATTAATATTTGATTATAAATTAACAATTTTTATTTTATTATTTATTTATTTATTAATTTTAGTGAAATATATTAATATTAATTACACTAAAACGTCAATCGAGAACAGACGAATGTGCAGTGCTGTTCTCGATTGACGCGATTTTTATCGCTCGAAAATAAAAACACTCAGGGCCGTATGAAGGGCCTTACGCAACAATGTGAATTCTATCTAGGGGATTTTCACTAGTGGGGCACTGAATCCACCTTAAATTTAAAAATCACAAGTACGACTTTGGCGTCAGTCATAACCTAAATTCTACCCGCTTCCCCACTTCCCTTCAAGTGTTCCCTTGCTCTGTTCTCGACTGACGTGTTCTCGATTGACGTTCTAGTGTAATTAAAATGTTCGTCTAATGAAAAAAAGTGAATAAATGAAGAAAAATGATAAAAAAAAAAAAAATTGGAAGGAATAATATTTGTTTATATAAAATGTCATTATCAGTTATATTTTATTTTTTTATTTATTATCTTTTATTATATATAAATTTTGTGAATATTTTTTGGTCTGTTTGGTAACTGTCTGTTTATCACTATTTCTATAGGCAATATTTTTTCTTTTCTTTTTTTTCATATTATTGAAAAATATAAATATATATTTTTTTATCGTAACTAAATGTTTTTGTTGAATTTTATATCATAATAATTAATATATAGTCTCCTATTTTTTATAACAATGTTGTATATTTAATAATGTTAACGCTTTTTTCTTTTTGTACTGAATTTTGTAATATATGTAAATAATACTTGTTTCCCAAAATTTGGAAAAAATTTTAGGGATTAGTTTAGAATTGTTTACCAGTTGGTTGCTTTGTTTCTTCATTAACCTTTGACGGGAAGTTTGTATTTAAATTGCCAATTTCCTCCAGAGGATTCACCACCTTTCCCATGTATAAAATTGTACCGGATGTTTCGTCTTCAATATAAAAAACGAATGGCCGATTTGCAATGAATGTTTCTTCGCCGATTTTATTGGAAATTTGAATTTCTGCAATAAAATTATATTTTTAATAATAAGTACAAAAAAAAAAAGAAAAAAAGAACATATTTTTCTAAACAAATTTTCGCCTCATTGAAAAATGCAACGAGTTAAAATAATAAAAAAGGAACATTACTAAAAAATTTGTTTATATTATATACAAAAATTCTTATATTATTATTTTTTCTGTTTTTATAATCTCTTTTTTTTTGGATCAAACTTTTATGTTATTTTTGAACTGAAGCCCACAAATCACGAGTTTTTTTTTTTTTTTGACAAAAATTCAAATCCTTGAAAAAAATTGAAATTTAATCAGTTAAGAAATTATTTTCTTTAATTATCTTAATTAACAAATTGTATTATTTACCTATTAATTAAGAAAGATTATTTTATTTATTTTTTTTTTGATACAAAATTGAAGAAGAAAAATTATAAATAAAAACATTGTTTTATATAATAATAATACAAAAATTTTATTATGTAATTAATAGAATTTTAAAAAAATATAAATTTTTAATTCAATTTTTTATTATCATTAAATAATATTGAAAAATGATTTTAGAAAATTTAATTTTTTATTAAAAAGCAAATGAGTTTAAAGTTAAAAATATTTTTTTAATTTTTATTACCTGTAGCAACATAAGCTGCAGTTCCTTTCTCATTCACTTCGATTCCAGATTTTTGAACAATTTCGGAAACAGAAAGTTGAGGGGAAGCGGAACTTGTACGAAGTATTCCAGTCAAAGTTGCTGAATCTTCAAAAATATCTTGAATACCCATCTGTTTAATAATTTACAATTTATTTTAGTTAAAAATTTACCGAAATAGCAAAATAAGTTTAAATTGTAAATTATGACAATAATAATAATCAACTAAATATGTAAACAAAAATAATAACAATAATAATAATTAATAATAAAAATAATAATTATTCTTATTATAATTAAAAATTTTCAATTTTTTTCGGAATAATTTTTTCTAAAAAGTAATTTAAATTAATTTTATAATTATTTGTTTTGAAAATAAATAAATAAAATTATTTTGAAAATTTAAATAAAAATCTACCTCTTTAAGAGTTGATTCTAAATGACTTGTAAAATCAAATTTAAACTTTGGAATGACCACTGCCATTGACATATCCTGCATTAACCAAGTTTGTTTGCTAAAAGCCTGAGAATTCAATTTTTCAACCAATGTATCCAATGAATTTGTTTTTCGAGGTAGAATAAAATACATGGCATATTTTTGACCCTGCAAAAAAAAATTTACTCACACTTTTAATCAAATAATATAAAATTATGAAATATTAAAAATTAAATTTTCCATCTTCATAAAAACATAAAAAAGTATATTTCAAAAAAAAAAAAAAATTCTCATTTTCACTGAAGAAACTTCATGGATAATATAATTAATAATTATTAGTGAATTTATTAATAATTTTCAATAATATTTAATCAATTAATTATTGCAATAATTGAAAATTATTATTAATAATTGAAAATAATTAATAAATCTCATAATTTAGTACTCTTAGTATGAAAGGACATTTTTATTTTTGAGATAAAAATTATTTTTTAGAAAACAAAATATTTGTAAAAAAAAAAATGTTTTGGTAAAAAAGTAATTTTAATAGCAAGAAAATATTTTTATTATTGTAAATTCGTTAACTTAAATAAAATGATAAAAAAAATCAATTTTTAATTAATAAATGAAAAATAATACATAATTAATAAATTCATTAATATTTTGAAAATAATAGTGGTAATTGTAAAAAATAATGGACAAGTAAACAATTATGAATATGAAAATGGATATAGAAAATAAATAAATAAATAATAAATATGAAAAAAAACGAAATTAAAAGAAAATTTGTATTCAATATTTACATAAAGAAAGAATAAAAGAAAAAAAGAATCAACGGAAGTAGAAAAATAACTCACTGAATAAGGAATACGAAGTATTTTAGCATCTAATTCTGATTCTGATGATGAAGAGTAATAAAATCGAGCATATGAATGCATCATTGGTACATCAACGGAATATGTTTCAGTTGGAAAGAATTTTCCCATTCTTGTTGCTTTTGGCGAAAATGGATGTCGATCCCATGTTCCTTTGAAAAATAATGCATTCACAACAACCATAACTGATCCTCTCAAACTGTTTTCTAAAATAACGAAAAAAAATGTTAATATTGTTTTTTTTACATTTAAAAAGAAAATTATTTTACAATTCTTCAGTAACGCATTCAATATCCAAAAATATTACCAATTTTCTAATATTAATATTTTTAATTTTTCCTCTTTTACACATTTGGCCTTTTCAATTTTCTTTTATTGAAATTTTATTTATATATTTCTACTTTTTCTTTAATTAAAAATTAATTTAATTATTAACTGTTTAATCGAAGCAATTTTTCTATACAATTAATAAAAGTAATTAATTTATTGAATTTGTAAATTAAATTAATCATACTAAATATATAAAAATTATAAATTTTAAATCTATTTTTTTTGTAAATTTATGTAAATTCAATAAAATTATACATCCAGAAATTTTTTTTTTCTGATTAAATAAATAATTTATTGATTTGTTTTAAATAAAAATTTTCTTTGACACTAATAATTTTGGTTCGAATAAAAATTTTTTTTGAAACAAATAAAAATTTGACACAAATAATTTGGTTTAAATAAAAATATATTTGAACCAAATAAAAATGTTGAATCAAATAAAAATTTATTTAGACCAAATAAAAATTTGACAAAAAAATAATATGGTTCAAATAAAAATGTATTTGAAGTAAATAATAATTTTTTTTTTTTAATCAAATAAAAATTTATTTGGAAACAATTAAATAGTTATGAGAAAAATATTTTGTTTTTTTTTCATCTATATGAGAGTTGAAAAATAAATTTAAGATTATCTCACCGTCTTCAATAATTTTTTGGATATTATTTTCAGTGACATTGTTCACCCAATTGTTTATACTATCAGCAACGGCATGTGTGTTGGATAAATTGGCACTTAAAACATCTGTAGCATAAAACATTTTTACGATTGCCGCGTATCTCTGTCGAAGTTGTACTGCGGAATCAATGTAAATGCGGGTTCCAACATTCAGTGTATAATCAGGATTCTTGGTCTGAAAAAATATAAAGAGAAATCATTTACTATACGAGAATATAAACAAAACAAAAAAAAAAAAAAATTATTATCCTATTTGAGAAAAAAATATTTTTTCGTAAAAGAAATATTTGTAGAAAAAAAAATTATTGTGTCAAAAAAAAGGTTTTATTAAAATAAAATTTTAATATTCAAATATATAATTTTATTATCAAGAAAATATATATTTTTATAATAAAGAAATGTTTTTTAGAAAAAAATATATTTTTAATAAAAATAAATAAAAAAAAATAATTAAAAAAATAATTTTAATATAGTAAGAAAATATTTTTATTTATCTATTTACGCAGTAAGAAAAATTATTTTAAATAAAAAAATATAATAATTTTAATAATTAGTAGGTAATTTTTAATAAAAGGAAAAAAGTATATTTTAGAAAAAGAAATATTCATAGAAAAAGTAATTTATTCATTGTAAAAAAATATTTTAATAAAAATATAATTTTAATTATCAAAAAAATATATTTTTAAATGAAAAAACAAATTTTTTTAGTAAAAAACTATATGTAGATATTTTTATGAGAAAAATTAATCTTTAGTTTTTTTATCCCAAAGAAGTTAAAGAAATATATTTTTACAATACAGATGAAAAAAAAAATTAGTATTTTTTTTTTTTTTTTTAAAGGAATTTGTTTTAAAGAAAAATTTTTTGCAACTTTTTCCCTTATAAAATAAATAATAAATATAGAAACAAAAAAATAATAATAATTACCTGAAGTGATTGTAAAATTGATGTGAATTTATCTCTCGTGACAGCTCGGTTTATAGGTAAATGCAAACCAGTAGCCAATTCTTGTGCAGTTTTACCTTGAGCACCCTCGTATAAATAAATCAGTGCCAATTTTGTTGATATCGGAGAAATCAACATATTTCCAGGAGTTTTCTTTGATATTATCTAATAAATTTCCCATAAATTAACATTTTATTTATTTTTATTAAAAAGTAATAAATTGAAAAATGATAAAGTTATTGAAAAATAAAAAAATTGTTAATAATTAATTTAATTTGTAATTTTATAATTGTATAATTAATAAAATATAGATAATTAAAATATTTAATTAATTATAAATTATTAATTATAAATAAACACTTAAAAATAATATGAATTTAAAAAAAAAAATATTAAAATAAGAATTTAATTTACTTTAAAGAGATGCCAGTCAAAAACATTGAATCTTTCCCCTTGATACGGGATAAAATCATCAATTTCATCATTTGTCGACGAAACATTTCTGGTAAATTTTTGAGCACCATTGACATTTATATTTTTCATAAAACAAATTATAATGAAAGCCAAAGTCAGCCAACCTAAATTATAAAAAATTTTACATTATTTAAAATTACAACAATATAATGAAAATTGTAAACTCAAAAAATTTAATTAGTACTAATGAAAAAAAAAAAATACATAAAAAAATAAAATAAATAAATAAAAAAAAATTATAATAAATTTCAAAAATATATTAATTGAGTAAATTTATTTATTAATTCTTTATAGGAATAAATTAGTTTGTCATACAATGCAATTATTAATTTCTTAATTAATATTTAATTTATTAATTGTTAATTAATTAATTTTTTTAAATTCGCACTCAAATATTGTTTTTTTTTTACACGAAACTTGTGTATTATTCACTGGAATTAAAGTTTCATAAAAAGAAAAAAAAATTGCTTTTTATAATTACTGTAAATCTAACAATGATTTATGAAAACATTTATTAAGAAAGAAAAATTTACGTACTCGTTAAAACAACTTAATAATTGTATATGACTAAGAGAATAAAAAGTTATTACAATCACACTTATTCTTTAAAGATAATAAATTTACTTTTCAATATTTTTATATACGATTTATGAAACATTTTTTTAATTACGAAAACAAAATTGCACTTTTACAGTTTTTTCAAACAAAAATTTTATAATTATTGATTTGTTATCAATTTATTTTTAAATTGACAAATTTTTTTGTTTGTTTTATTTTTTTAATTTTCTTTTTTAATATAAAACTAAAAAAAATGCAATAAATTTTGTAAAAAGAAATTAATAATAAATTTCTCAATTTATTTCCAAATAGACAAATATTAAAAAAAAAAAAAAATGTTAAAAACATAGAATTAAAGTAAAAAAAAAATAAAAAAAATTCTAATAGAACGAAACTAATGATGAAATAAAAAAATTTTTAAATAATTTACGAAATAAATAACTATATAAAGGATGAAACTTCAGAAAGTAAACACGTTTTAAAATTTATACAATGTATAGAGAATTTTTTTTTTTTTTTTACATCAGACGCATTGAAAATTCTTCACAAAGAATATTATTTCTCTCTCCTCTCGAGTGAAAATATCGCACTTGAAAAATTATTAAAAGATTTTTTTTTCTAATACTAAAAAAAATGAGATCAATAATAAAATATTATAAATATAATAAAAAATTTCTTACCAAAACTATTTTTATTGTACATGGCGTTGAAAAGGAAAATTTCTCTTAAACAACAAAATAAAAAAAAAAAAAATTAAAAAGAATACTTTGCACTTATGAGAGAAGAGTTCATGGACGTGTTCAACGGTGAAACAAACCGGCTCAACTGGCCACTTCTTCTGGTACCAAGAGTGATAGAATATACATACAGGAAAATACTTGGAACAAAAGAAGGAGGGGATATATCCTTATATTTTGCATATTTTGAAAAAAAAAGTTCGTCAAATAATATTCTGGAATTGAGTGAATCATTGAGAATTTCCAAAATGAAATTTTTGTAAATTTTTTTTTTTTTTTAATTTATTGAATACATGCAAATATTTTGTAATTAATGAAACAAATATTATTTATTATTTTGTAATTAATGAAACTGACATTATTTATTATTTTGTAATTAATGAAACAGTTATTTTTTATTATTTTGTAATTAATTTTTTTTTTAATTTTTTGTTTTAAACAAAAAAATTGTACTCTAGGTTATGTTAATATATTATATCAAAGAATAGAAATCGGTGGGGCAAAGGGGCAGTTGCCCCCTTTTTAAAGAAAATATATGCAAAAATTGTATATTTATTTATATGGTCCACCCACGAGAAAATCTGTTCCTACGCCCCTGTATTTTATAATAATTAAAAAATATCATTTTTTTTTGTTAACAACAAAATTTAATTATGATTAACAAATGATTTATTAATAATACTTAAATTTATTATATTAATTAAAATTAAATTTATTAATACATATAATTGTGGAATTTAAAACTATTATTAATATTTTATTATTTATTTTTTAAAATGTTATTTATGATTTTTATTAATAATAATTTTTATTATTTTTAATTTTTTAAACAAAATTTATCTAATTTTGAGGTTATGTTTGTTTCTTGGTCGTTTTCCGCAAATTTTGGCCAAAATTTTTTTGATTATGTTTGTTTATTGGTCGTTTCCCGCCAAAATAACATAACTTTCACAATTTAGGTAATTATTGGCGGAAAATCCACCTCCCCCTCAACGTAAGGGAGGGGGAAGACTTGCGACAATATTCAGAGTCTTGAAACGAATATAACCTCAAAATTTAGGTTATTTTTGGCGCGAATTCCAAAGTGAGAGAGAGGGGGGGAAGACTTGCGACAATATTCAGAGTCTTGAAACGAACATAACCTCAAAATTTAGGTCATTTTTGGCGGGAAATCCAAAGAGAGAGAGATGTGGGAAAAACTTTTCCATTTATTTCAATTTTACACCCAGAAAAAAGATTTCTTTATTTCAAAGAAATTAATTATCTTGACAAATTTTTCTCTGACTCAAAAAGAAAATTTATTTGTTTCAAACAAATTATCTTTGATTCAAAAAAAAATTATTTTCGTTTTAAAGAAATTTTTTCTTTAATTCAGATAAATAATTCTTTGACCCTACATCAATGTTAGAATTTCTTTGATTTAATGCACTAATCTTTTTCATTCAAAGAAATTTTTCTTTGAATCTAAGAAGCTTTTTTTGTTTCAAAGAAAATTTTATTTTGAATGAAAGAAAACAAGTCAAAGAAATTGGTTTCTTTAATTAAAAAAAATCTTTTCTCTGGGTGTATTATTAAAATACTGACAAAATATAAATGAATACAAAACAATTTTTAGGTTAGAAAAATATAATTTTTTTAAATTTAAAATTAATTAATAAATAATAATAATAATAATAATAATAAATCACTTTATACATCAGGAAATTAGCAAAAACAAATGATTTTTTTTATCTTCTTAAAAATGAATATAAAATTTTTTTTAATGGAATTTCCACATTTTTAATAAATGATTATCGCGAGATCGTAAAACATTTAGAATTTGTACTGTATTGCAAGTAACAATACTTGGAATTTTTTATTTTAAAAAAATAACTTAGTGTAAAATGAGTGAATCAGAACCTAAATTAAAAAAGTCGTAACCGTAACTGAGGCTTATTGTTGTAGTTTCTGTGATATTTCAAAATAAGTTGACTATTCATTATTATTATTATTGTTATTATTATACATTATGTATATATCTAAGCAATTTATTATTTCATGTTTTGCTGTAATATTTTTATAAAAACATTATTTTATAATTTTTTTATAGTATTATAATTATTATTTTGATTTAATTTCATATTTAGGAAGGAGGATATTTTTTTAAATCAAGGTAAAAATGTAAAACTATACAATAATCGGTAATAGTTTAAATATTTTATTTTTAATATTTTTTTTTATTTAATTTTATTTAATTTCATTTTAATTTAGATTTTATTTCATATCAATTTAATTCATTTTATTACACCCATTTTTCTGATTTCATTTTAATTTTAGTATATTATATATTTTATAACGATTTTGAATAATTGACTTTTTCAATTTATTAATATTTAAAAATCTATACATAGTTTCATAAATCAGATAGTTTTGAATTCCGCGCGCTCTGATTTTTGAACTAAGGGTTCGGTCACAATTTTGCTAGCAGTCATCGTTGGGTTGCCATGTTCCAAAAATGTGAAATATTTTGCAATTACATCGCGCAATTTTTCTCTCTTGCCGTTGGCAAAATCTCCTATATTATGCCAAAAATTTTCAAAATTTTGACATTTTGATAAAAGAAATAAAATTATTTTATCTCTTTTTTAAATTTCCAATTGTGCAACCAAACGAAGTGTGATTACGCCTTTAGATATTTTTACTCGATACTACACTGTGTAAAAACATTGACTACTTGAAACTAAAAAAACAAAGTATTTCTTTTTTGTAAAATTAAAATGTTTCACCTATTAAATTAATCTACAGTACTGCTCAACATCGTCATATCTAATTGATAAAAAGGAAAAAATAGTTCTTATTCAAAATATAAGTAACTGTTAAAGTGAAATATAAAAAAAAAATCATGAATTTGACAACTCTACATACACGTGGGTTTGTTGAACCCACAAAAAGTAAATGTTTTTGTACAGTACAGTATAACGTGAAAATGTCTACAAAATAAATGTCATAATAGTGAAAACATTCATTTAAATGTTTATATATTATAATTAAAACAATTGAAACAAAAATTATGCTTTGTAAATAATTTTGTATATATATATATACATATTATATTCTACATTTATAATTGTATTATTTTTATGTGTAAATTATTTATATATATATTACACACATACATAAATGAAATTTGACCTGTATGAAAAAACAATTGATTACATCTGTGATTTGACAACAATTACATACCACGCCCAGTTATAATTAAAGGCAAGTTAATTAAAAAAACAAAATAATTCTTAGGAGTCAGGAGAAAAAATTCAGTTTAAAAAAAAAAAAAGTGCACTTCTTTACATACGTATACATAAATGATGAGTGTACAAACGCGATATCCTTATGAGGGTTTACTTCATAAATATACAAATGCAATGAAAGGATGGCAATATCGTTGGTTTATATTAAGTCCAGAAACTGGAGAATTGCATTATTTTCTCACGGAAATGGAAAAAAGTCAAAAACCAAGATGTTCTATTTATTTAGCTGGTGCTGTGATAGCTCCTAGTGATGAGGATTCCACGACATTTACTGTTAATTCGGCAACAGGTAATTAGATTTTTATTTCTTTTTTTTATCTATTTGTACTCTACGAAAAAAGGGTTTCATGATTTTTTTTTCGATTTTTTTCATTAGGCCGTTTACAAGATATGAATTTTTGAAAAAATTTCAGATTTTTATTTACTCGTGTGACATTCTTAAAAAATTCATTTGTATCGCATCCTTCGATTTTTTTTCAAATTTTCAGTAAAACTACTTTTTTTCAAAAATTTTAATCTTAGTCCCGTCGTTGTAGGGAAATAAATACTTATTTTAATACAATGTGACTTTTTCGACTTTAAAAAAAAATTTTTTTTTACAAAATTTTTAAATAAAATAGGTACGTTTTTTTAGGATACAATGCAGATCTTCTTCTGATCTTCTTTATTTCAAATATTTAACAAATTTTTTTAACTAAAATTCTTCAATAAATTAATAATTTTTAATAATTTTAATGAAATTATTTACAAATTCAATTAACTTAAACTATTTTTCAATTAAAATTTTTATGAAATTTAATAATTATTTATAATTTAAAAAAAAATAAAATTACCAAAAATTTTTAATTCAAAATAACTTGAAATTTAATTATTTGCAAAAATTTCAATTCAAAACAATTGAAATATAATTATTTTCAAAAATTTCAATTTAAAATCAACTAATAATAAATTATTTTCCAAAATTTCTATTAAAAATCAAATGAAATTCAATTATTTTCAAAAATTTCCATTCAAATTCAACTAAAATTCAATTATTTTCCAAAATTTCAATTCAAAATCAATTTAAATTAAAATATTTTCAAAAATTTCAATTCAAATTCAACTAAAATTCAATTATTTTCCAAAATTTCAATTCAAAATCAATTTAAATTAAAATATTTAAAAAAATTTCAATTCAAAATTAACTAAAGTTCAATTATTTTCCAAAATTTCAGTTCAAATTCAATTATTTTTAAAATTTTCAATTTAAAATCAACTAAAATTCAATTATTTTCCAAAATTTCAATTCAAAATCAATTATTTTCAAAGTTTTTAATTTTTAAAATCAACTAAAACTCAATTATTTTCCAAAATTTCAATTCAAAATCAATTTAAATTAAAATATTTTCAAAAATTTCAATTCAAATTCAACTAAAATTCAATTATTTTCCAAAATTTCAATTCAAAATCAATTTAAATTAAAATATTTAAAAAAATTTCAATTCAAAATTAACTAAAGTTCAATTATTTTCCAAAATTTCAGTTCAAATTCAATTATTTTCTACATTTTCAATTTAAAATCAACTGAAATTCAATTATTTTCCAAAATTTCAATTCAAAATCAATTGAAATTCAATTATTTTTATAAATTTTAATTCAAAATCAACTAAAATTCTATTATTTTTTTTAAATTTCAATTAAAATTCAATTATTTTCAAAATTTTCATTTTAAAATCAACTAAAATTCCATTATTTTTTAAAATTTCAATTAAAATTCAATTATTTTCATAATTTTCATTTTAAAATCAACTAAAAATCCATAATTTTTTAAATTTTTAATTAAAATTCAATGAAATTCAAAAATCTAAACTGTAAATCTTTGAAAATTCAATTACTTTGAAAATATGTTATCTAAAATTATTTGATAAATTATTTTCAGTTCTATAAAATTGAATTACTGTCAGAAAAAAAAACAAAATCTTACGTCGGTGAAGTTCACAACTTTTATTATCAACGATTGAGAAGAAAAAATATTTTCCTATGCAAATTATTATTATTGTTGATCTACAAAATTTTTTGCAACGTTTCTTGTTCAACAATTATTTGAAAAAAAAATTTGTAGGCAAAAAATTAGTTATTATTTTTTGAGTGGAAAATATATTTTTTTTTGAATCGTTAATCATAAACGTTGTAAACTTCACCGACGTAAAATCTTTTGAAATTCAATTATTTCTAAAAATTTCAACTTTAACTCTTCCAAAATTATTATTTATTAAAAAAAATTTTTTTTTAAACATCTGTAAAACTTGCTTAAGTTTTTGCCTGAAATTTTTTTGACCTTCAAAACTAAAAACTATGACAAAATTTTAAATTCGAATAAATTGCTTAAATCAGACATGAAAAAATTATAAAAATGGAACTTTAAGAATTTTTTTCAGAAATTTGTCCTACTTATATAAAATTTTGTCTTACAAGGTAGTTCGATTCTAAAATATTGGAAATAAATTTTCTTGATAATATATTTATAGAATTATTCTTATTACAGAATTAATAAAATGAATTTAATACCTAATAACATTAGTTATTTAAAGTAAAATATTTATTATTTTGTTAAAATAAAAAAAAATCGACTTTTTTTTTTAATATAAATCGACTAAAACGACTTTTTTTGTGCCTTAAAGTGGATTCGAGGTCTGAAATTGATATTTGTAAATGATTTGTTGAAAACATTTTTTTTTTAAATCATGGAACTTTTTTTCGTAGAATAGAAAGAAAAAAAAAGTAGTCCAAGTTAACGATATGTTGAAATGGCGTGGACCCTTTTTTTTTTGTATAAAATCTTGTTTATTTAAATTAAAAATTTACTTTTTAGGTGATATGATTAAATTGAGAGCAGCTGATGCTCGAGCAAGACAAGAATGGGTGGATAAACTTCGCGCAGTCACAGAAATGTATACTAGAGCAATTGCTAGTAGTCATCCACCACTTCCTCCGAGGGAGCACAATAATCCTACGATAAGAAATCCAGTTTCAAAAATTGAAGTTTTAGATGCATTCGCTAATTGTCGTGAGCAATTGATCAAAGTGGAAAAACACACTGTTGCTTTATCGCAAACTATTGAAAATTGTAGCTTTAATTTAGAACCAGATTTACTAGTCTTAAAAGCTACTGCCCACGCAACGTTTCATACATTAAATCAATGTTTAAATATTTTATATCAATAGTTTTTTTTTTTTCAAAACGAAAGAAAAAAATTATCGAAACGTCAAAATTTGAGATTTTACTCAAAATTCTACATTTCTACATTCTTTTAATATTCAGAAATTTGAAATTTTACGTCTGGAATTTATTTTTCCAATAATTTTTACAGTGATTTTTCAAATTTTGTTTCAAAGAAAAAAAGATTTTATTGTTCTTTATATAATTGTTAAATGTTAAATTATTTTTTATTGTTTTTTTTTTCTATTGAACAAATTATAAAAGTTGGGTATAGAAAAAAAATTAAATTATTCGAAAATCATGTAAAAAGGAATTTTTAAGAAATGTAGAAAATTGAAAACAGTTTTTTTTTTTATTAATATTGTTAAAAATAGATTCAGTTTTTGTTTGGTTATTTTTTTCGCGTAATTTTGACAATTTGACATGCGTGTCAAAAATTATCAAATGTGTGTTTTTATTTGTTAAAAATTGGGAAATTTCTCTTATCCAGAGATGCTGTTTTAAGTATCTCTCTAATTTGTTTTCTTTTATCAAAATCGTTATAAATAGAAGAAAATAAACATATCATTATTGTAGCAGTCGATAATTATACACGAACGAAATTGTCAGGAGTATATTTAAAAAACGAAAAAAAAAAAAAACTAGTGTCGATACTTTTTCTACGTCTGATTTCATTGATTTATAAATTTTTTATTCTCATTTTAAATCTATATACTTATTTTTAAAATTTTTTCCAATTTTTCAAAATTTTTCAATTCTTTTACTTGATAAGTAAAAGGATAAATATAATTACAAATTAATAGTAAAATCTTTTTACGAATGAATTTTATTATAAATCTACTTCCATTTTGAAATGTCATATATTTTTTATATTTTTTTTTTTTTCAATTAAAAATGTCGAAAGATTGAAAAAAAATTTGGGAAACAAATTTTCAATTAAAAAAAGAAATAACCATTTTTCGAAAACTTATTAACGTGTAATATAAAAATGTAATTTTTAAACGGTTTCGTCTCTTGTGTTCTCCAATGGTCATAATATATATTTTTTTTTATTATTATTATCTAGTTAGTAATAAATGATTGAGTACGAAAATGATGCAGCTCGAATGTTAAATAATTAATTATAAACGAAGCTTTGCATTTACAAAACTGATAAAGTCGGTTGATCCGTCTTTCAATAATTATTGTATAGTGTTTATATTTTATACGACTTTCATTGTTTCTGCATTTTTGCAATTGAATAAAACAAAAGGGAAATATAATCCGTTGATTTATTCCATTATTTTAGAATCCACTATAATAATTTTTATATTAGAAAAAAATTCTATTCCCCTTTTTTTAAAAAATTTTCTCTTATATTTTATTACATTTCTTCTCGTTTTGTTTTATTTACTTTTTTATTATATATTAAAAATTTTACTTTTTCATTAATTAATAATTTTTCTTATTATTTTTTTTTTTTTTGCCTTTTCAAATTATAATTAAATTAAAAAACTAAATTTCATTTTTTAATATTTTCTCATATTTTCATAATTTGTAGGAAAATATAAAAAAAATGAATTTACATTTTTAAAAATATTTTCTGATATTTTTCATGATTATGTTGGAAAGCAGTATATTTAAAATCATTATCATTATAATGTAAAGATAGAATAATAATTATTATGAAACTGATTGGAAAGATACGAAAAAGGAAAGAATTGAAAGTTATTTGAAAACTTTGATATTAGAATGTTAGTTTAATGTTTGACGGAAACAATCTTGAAGATTCAGTGACAAGGTCAAGAATTTGGGTGAAGGTAAACCAGTAAACAACTTTTACTGATCGATGATTCGAGGATGCTGTAAACGAGAGATTTTTCCACTAGTAAGCTTAAATTCATCATATTCCGACCACGTATTTATTCCGTTTACTACAAATTTTCTAAACATATGTAAAAAAAATTTACATAAAGCTCTATTATTTTAATATTTAGAAATTCTAATTTTAAATCGATTAAAATAAATCAAATCTAATAATTTCTATTAATATTTTTGAATAATTTAGTTGAATTTTATTTCAAATATTTTCTAAATGAAAATTTTCAATAAATTAATTTTGTTTTGTATATTATTTTTAATATTAAAAGAAACAATGTTTTTATATTATTGAAATTTTCTTTTTTGTATGTTAATTAATGTGAAATTTTTATTTTTAATGAATGGATATTCATGGAAGAAATATGAGTGGAAGAGAAGAAATAATACTTGGATTAAATTGGAATAATGGTGAAGCTGACAATTCACAGTCAAATGAAAAAAAATTTCGTGGATTTCATCTCACGAGATCAAAATGGGATCCATATCCATGGGTTGGTTCAGTTGAAATCGAAAGTGATGCTCAAATTTCAGGATTAAGGTAATATTATTATTTTACAAATATAAAGTTTATTTCTTGTTTTTTTGTTTTCTTATTTTTCTATTTTATTTTCATTTCTATTTTTCCGTATATAACATTTTTTAAAATATTTATTTATTTCCTTTCATTTTTTTCGTTTTCAAATATGAAATATAATTTTAAAAGAATAAAAATACTTGAAATAAATAAATAAATCAATTTTGATTACGAAATAATAAAGCAAAGAAGCAAATTTTTTCTTATATGACAAAATTATATTATTTTTTAGTACCTTTTCAGCAAAAGGGTTTTTTTTTCGTTGCCCGTTTATTATGTAAATAAATTTAAATTAAATAATTGAAAATAAAAAAAATAAAGAAAATTCCAATAATTTTGGATTTGAATTTTGTCAAGAGTTTATTTTTAGAGCAGGAGATTGTCTACTACAAATTGATGGTGAAGATTTGTTGGGACTGAAAATGTCGGATATTGCATTTTTAATAGGAAGAAATGATCAGGTGAAAATTCATGTTTGGCGACAGAGGAACAATTTGGAAAAAAAGCCCGAAGTTGATAAAGAAGAAATAAATAGTGACGAGAAAGAAAGAAGACACGTGGGAATTTTAGCATTGGAAGGTCCTCTTCCCGAAGTGGCAATTAAATTGTCAAGTGCAGTATCCGGAGTTGTTCGTGCCCTTGAATGTCCAGTGAGTTTTTGCATTTTACTTTCTTTTTTTTTTAATTTTCATTTTATTTGAATTATCATGAAACTTCTTTTTCTCTTTTTTTTCTAGATTTATTTTTACATTGATTAAATTTTTTTTTTACTTAAATCTCTTTTTTTTTACTATTGACAAATAATAAAAAAATGGAGAAAATTTTTTTTAAAAATTCCCAAGAAAATGAATTTGAAAATAAAAAAAAAAATTTCTTTTTCAAATTTTCAGATTTGTCTCGAAAGTGCTCAAACGCCAGTATCGCAATGTGTCAATGGTCACATTCTTTGCGTTGGCTGTCGTGCAAAAAGTACAAGATGTCCAGTTTGTCGAGTGAGTTTGGGTCAAGGAAGATGTCTCTTGGCCGACAAATGTCATAAAGTACTCGTCGAATCGTTTGGAATTGATAATAATAAAAAAAATTCCTTAATAAATAAATCCGAATCATTATCACTTTCAAAACGTCTTTTTGGATCGACTAGAAAACCAATTCATCATCAGAAAGAAAAAATTAATTTCAATAAACATCGTTCGCCGCATAGGGCAAAAAATCTTATTTCACGAATATTTCCCTCTATTAGTTTAGATGATGAGAATAATAAGGCAATATCAACGGAAAGTTTACCGGCAACAACTCAATGTTGTGACGACAATGAAAATGGTAGATCAACACGTTACATTGGACGACAATGGCTTTTGCCGAGAAATTTTAATAATTATTTGAATGATCGAACAAAATCGGCAAGTACTGGTGAATTATCGAGGGAAAATAATCGAACCAATAGTGGTTCATTGAATCGTTTAACTAATAATGATCGTGATGATGATGATGATGATGATGATGATGAGACACGAAATTGTGATAATGGTCTATTGAGTGTACCACCGACACCAATTTGGGGTGGATCGACAGAATCGGTGGCAAATTTTAGAATTAATTGTCCATTATTTAAGAGTGAGGAATGTCGTGAATTATTGACACGTGATACAATTTTGGAGCATTTAGCTGCATCTCATCGTGGACCAATGATTCATTTTCATAATGGAAAAGCGAATTTACCGATACCTTGGCCTTTTCATTCGCAGGGGATTTATATTTTGCATCGAGACGAGGATGTTTTTTTCCTTCAGGTTGTAAATTGTCATTTTTTTTTTTATTCTCATTGTATTCATTTTCTGTAACTTTTTTTCTCCTTTTTTTTCTACTTCTTAGTCTTCTTTTTTCTATTTTCTTCTTATAAATTCAGGGTTTCTATATAAATTTTATGATTTATTATTTTCAATAATTAGTAACACAATTTCCAATTTCCAAACACAAAATATAAAAAAAAAATCAATAAAATGATATCAATACGGGTAAATAAAAATTTTATCAAATGAAAATTCTATTAAATTCAATTTTATTGAAATAACAGGCTTCGAATTATACGACTTTTTCTTACTTTTTTTCCGAAAATACGACTTTTTTTAGACTTATTTTAATAAAATCCAATTTTTTTAACTTTTTTTTTTTACATTTTTTCACAAAATTATAATATATATTTATTCAAAATCACTTGAAATTTAATTATTTGCAAAAATTTTAATTAATTTTAAATGATTTTTATAATATTCTTCGCAAACTCAATTTTTGTCTGTAATTTCTAATAAATTCATCAATTATTTTCAAAAAATTCAATAGAAATTCAATTATTTTCTACATTTTTAGTTCAAAATCAATTAAAATTCAATTATTTTCAAAAATTTGAATTCAAAATCGATTGAAATTTAATTATTTTCAAAAATTTCAATTCAAAATCAACTAAAATTCAATTATTTTCAAAATGTTCAATTTTAAATCAATTGCTTTCAAAAATTTTTCCAAAATAATTCAATTCTATTATTTTTGAATATTGCAATTCAATATCAATTGAAATTCAATTATTTTCAAAAATTTCAATTTAAAAAGCTTCTACAATTTAATTATTTCTAAAATTTTTTGAAATTTAATAAATTGCTTAAATTAGACTTTAAAAGATTATAAAAATGGAACTTTATGAATTTTTTTTTAGAGATTTGCCCTATTTAAATAAAATTTGAAAATTTATCTTACAATATTAGTTCGATTTTGAAATATTCGAAATAAATTTTGTTGATAATATTTTTATAAAATTATTCTCATTGTTGTTAAAAATTCTTATTCTTTAAAAAATGCAATTAAATTGTTTATTTTATAACATACAATTTTCATCAGTCTGAAAACGAATCAATTTGGATCCTTGGCTCAAATACCAATGACAACAAATGGCATTGGACTCTAAACATTTTGGATGATCAAGAGGATGTGAAATTTCGAAGAGATGTAATAAGTTTACAAGAAACGTTCAACAACACTTCCTCTTCCACAAATGTTGTGATTCTTCCTGAAAATTGTACCTTTAAATCAGTGGAAATTCATATTCTAGAAAGTGAAAACAACGAAGATATTGAAGTTTAATAAAAATACAAAATGAAATTAAAAAAAAATAAATGTGACCTGAACATTTAAAAGGTACCTTACGTCCGAAATAATTGATTTTTTATTGATTGATGATTCTAATAAAAAAAAAGGTTTTTTCTATCAAAGTCATCGATGAATAAAAAATTAATTTTAATTGTCCTTTTAATTGTCTAGGTCACAAATGATAAACAAAATAAGAAAATAAAAAAATAAGACAAATAAAATTTTTCATAAAATATATTATTTTAAAGATTTAAAATATATAAAATAAAAATATAAGTTTATAATATTTAAATTAAAGAAATGTAATACGATGAAAATTGTAATATAAAAAGTTTTTTTATTAAAAAAGATGAATAACAGTTTATTGATAATTAAAATTAATAAATCTTACAGATATTAATAATATTATTGACATCGTCTTAAATCTGTATTATTAAATATACAGAATTCTCAAACCTGTCATTGGCACTGGTTGTTTTTTTTTATTTTCTATAAGTATATATAATCAATCGAGATCATATGAAAAAAATGCATTTTAAAATATTTTAATTCTTAATATATAAGTATATTAAAGTTATAGAGTTTATTGAGTAATATCACGATTTGTTTCCTTACAAGAAAAAAATATTGTATATACGTAACGAGACAAATCTTTTTTAATGCAATTTCCTTTTGTCAAAAAAAAATAGAACATATAAAGAAAGTTCGATGTTTTTTTTTTTTTATTAAGTAATACAATTTCTTCTTTTATCAAAAACGGCAATTATGATTAATTTTTTTGCAATAACACAATTTTCTTTATCCATAAATAACATTCCATAACAAGACAAAAAACGGACAATTTTTTTTTAAAAAACAAATTTTTTCTTTATCAAAAAAGAAAGTTTAACGAGACAATCGGAAGTAATTTTTTATCAAAAATTTTTCTTTTCTTACAAAATACAAATCGAAATTAGAAAATTTTTTTGTAAAGAAAAAAATATTTGACAATAACGTATAGTGTAAACGAATCTTAATTCAGTAATTAAGTAAATTAAGAAATAATTAGACTTATTATTATTAACGTAAAGTTACTTAGCTTCTACTTAAGAGAAAATTTTTCTTACAAAAAAAAAAAAAATTTTTTTTTTTCAAAAAAGAAAATTAATTTTCTTTCCAAAGGTATAAAAAAAAAATTACGTAATAATATAAAAAATTAGTAATGAAAAAATGCACTTCTTTATAAATTGTAAATAATTACTTATTAAATTATTCACAGTAATGTAATAATTACTTGGCAGCATTTTATTATTATCGCTAACTGTCGCTAAATGGTCCCATTTTAAGGCACAATATTTCTGTCATTTGAAATTTAGAAATTCTAAATAAAGATCTGAAAAGTTTCTAATTTAAAAAAAATTAAATTCTACAATTTACAAATATTTCTAGAAAAAAAAATAATAAGATTGTATAAAAGTGCATGAAGAACAAACCAAAAAATTGAAAAATTTTTAAAGTGGCTTCTGAAGTTTATTCAAATACGGTGAAAATAGATCTAATTTTCCCGTACGTAATGCTTTTCCCGCCATAACATCATAAGCATATTTTTTCACTGCCATCGCTTCTTCTTTGCCAAGAATTTCTAAATTTAAACGACAAACAGACGTATCGTCGCTAAATGATGAATGTTTCTTAAGTCCATTCGTTTGAGTTGGATCGAGTTTTGACATTTTTCTTTTTTTTACTTTTTGCACAGTAACACCATTCGATTCGTCTTCCTCTTTTTCTTTATCTCTCTTGGGACAACTGCAAATTCTCACTTGCAATCGACGACGACCCAAAACATTTTGATGTTCATCCTCCAAGGTGAAAATCATTTCTGTTGCTCGTCGATTCATACCTGATGTGCAACTGTTTTTACATAAAAATTTAAAATGCACTGGTACATAAGCAGTGCCTACTTCCGGTGTTCCAAGTGGTGTGCGAATTGACAAATGTCCTGATTGTGTTTCCTCGTATGTACTATTTCTATCGACACATCTCACTACGTGTCTATTTGTCAAATTATCAACTTCAAAATGATCTTTTCGAGTCATTGCCATGTGATTATGACAACGTAAAACTGGCTCCGATCTATATTGTTCCAATACATACACCATTTGTGTTCGTAGAAATAGTCCATTAATTGCTGGTTCCCATTTAAAACGCAATGGTAAAACTTCATCCATATTTATGAAAACCTTCGCCAGGGATTGTGAATACTGAAGAAAAGAAAATATTTTGCATTTTTTTCATCATTTAATCGAAAATTAAAAAAAAAAAAAAAAAAAAAAAAAAAAAAAAAAAAAAAACTCTTAATAAAAAAAATAAGGATGCGATGGGAATAAATTTTTTAATTTTCCTGACATTTCTTTGATATTAAATTTAATGAATTTTAATAGAAATCTTATAATTTGAAGTTACAAAAACGATGTACCTGAACAGGGTTACCACAAAAAAATTTATTTTCTTTTTCTCTAATTTTCAGTCACAGACTTTCCCTATTCCCCTTTTTTTTCCTCTATTTTAAAAAAATTCGCCTTTTTTCCCCTTTTTTATGAATATTTCCTCATTTTCCCTCCTTTTTCTTTCACTCATTTCGCCTATTTTAATGTTGAAACTCGAATAATGGGATATTTCATAAAAATCCAAATTTGAACCAAAAAAAATTACAAGCCTCGGATTGCACGACTTTTTTGACTTTTTTTAAAATCAAGAATTTCATTAAAATTATTGATAATAATTAATTCAGAGAAGAATTTTGGTTAAAAATTTATTAAATAATTGAAATAAAGAAGATCTGCATTATTTACCAAAAAATAAGTAACAAAAAAGTAATTAAAAAAAACTAAAACTAATTAATATAAAAAAGTAACTAATTTGTATCTATTCAAATTTTAATGAACTGAAATTTTTCATCCAAAGAATGAAGTATCAATAATTTTAAAATTTAGGTAAATTTAATTTTGAATAAATTGAAACTTAAATCAATTAAAATTTGGACAAGTTAAAATTTGGATAATCAAAATTTTTACATTGTAAATATAATTGTTTTTGAAGTAAAATTACATACTTAAATTAATCGAATCATGAGAAAAGGGAAAAAAGGTAACAAGTTATCAAAATAGGTGACAAAATCTTACATACATATATATAGGTAAAAAAAATAGTTAATAAGTGAAAATCTATAATCCATTCTAGAGACAAAAAATTGTTGAAACTTTTTATGTATACAAGAAATTTTGTTTAGTAAATATATATAAAAGTACAAATAATAAAATGTTTAAAACAATTTTTAAAAAAAATTTAAATTTCTACGTTTTAATTAAAAATTTTTAAAAATATTAATTTTTTACCACAAAAAATACAGGCTTCAAAGCGTAATAAGTGACTAAGAAAAGTATGAAAAAGTATCATTTTTTTTTTTTTTTAAAAGTATTCTCAAAATTGAAAAAAAGTAGCATCTTTAAAATGAAGTAAAATTAGTTTTCTAAGATTGACGTTAAAAGTGTAAATATTTTCTTGTCTAAAAAAATTGAAAGAAAAATTCTGAGGAATAAAATTAACATCATTTTTCTCCTGATTATTTAAAAAAAAAAACTATATCTATTGTTAAATTTAGATTAAATTTTTGTTTTTGGCACAACGTTTAGGAGCTTATGATTATTCCATAAAAATGATTTTTCACCATAAATTTTTATTTTATAAAATAGCATTTAACATACAATTTTTTTAAAACAAATGTTTACGGAATTTTCAAAGTACCAAATTTTTATTTGACAGAATTTTTATTTTACAAAAATTTCTCTTTACTCAACTGTTTCTTGAAAAGAATTCTAATTTAATCTATTTTTAATTTATTAGAATTCTCATTTAGTAGAATTTTAAGTAATTCGAATTTTTAAATCCTAGAACTTTGAATCGGAAACTTATATAAAATATTTAGTATTTTAAGACAACAATTTGAATTAAAAATCTCAAAAAATTTAATTATTTCTAAAAATTTTAACTCGAACTCTTCCAAAAATTCAATTATTTTTAAAATTTGTATCTAAAATTCTTTGCTAAATTAATAATTTCAATCCAATTATTCAAAAATTCAATTAAATAAAACATTTTTTAATTCAAAATTCTCTAAAATTCAACTAGGGGTAAGCGGTACAGTTGTTGCCCCCCTCACAGTGATTGCCACCATTACATTACAAACAGAAATAATAACGAAATTTACATATAATATTTTGTTTTATTTATTTATATAAATTCTACAGAATATTCTGCTAATAGTGTAAAAAGATTTTTATTCTTCGACTCACTATTATGAAAATAATAGCGCTTTTCGAGAACAGTGTCCTTAGCTCTTTGAAATTTTGTCAATTTAGTTGTAAATTTGCAAGGTTAGTGGTGATACTTTCTTTGACTTTTTAACGAAAAAATTATACATATCATTATTATTTTTTAATTATATGCATGAAAATAAGTTTAATAATAAGTAAAAAAATTTGTTTTAACGTAATTTGACTCGATTTACCGAAAATTATAGAGAACAACTACTATCTTGCAATTAATAACAAATAACAGTCATTGCCCTTTTGGTTATTATGTCATTTTTCAGTGATTAACCGTTTATTTTCAAGACTTTTTTGAGATAAGTATTTTTAATTTTTCGACGTTTTTTCATATTTGGTGAATTAATTTTTTAAAATAAAGATGTAATTAGAGCCGCAGCATGTATTAGAATGATTTGTAATATTTTATTAACAATTTTTTAATATGAAGTATGATTTTAGGCTATCGAAAAAATGCCGAAGGTAAAAAAAGGTGTTTCGTATATGCTTCTTTAAGTAATGAAAAGCTTCAAAATCATGTAATCATTATATCAAATCAAAATAGCCAAAAATAATTTTTATTTTTACAATTGAGTCAGATTCGACAATTTTCCCAATTTTTTAGGTTAATAGTATTATTTACACTTAAAAGTCATATTTAATGAATCTTATTATTGTTAATAAAAGAAAATTATTTTAAAAATTACTACTACTTTATTAATTTCAAATTATATTCATTCTTTAATAAATTATGCAAAATTTATAATTTACATTACTATTTTATGTCTAGTGGGCAATCATTGTAAAATTGATGGTCAATCACTGTAAAAATAATGACAATCACTATTTTTTCTGTCATGTGAAGATTTTTTTATTTTTTTTTAAATTTATACTAATATTAAATAAACAATTCATTATTATTTTCAGATTAATGGAATATTTTAATTCCTTTACAAATGGTTTCATTTCTCATTTCGATAATTAAACATTTGTAATTTGTATAAATATATCCCTTTTTTGCTTATACTGGCAATCACTGTATCGTTTACCCCTACTGTTTGAAACTTTTCTAATAATTTTCAGCAATTCTAATTTACTGTAATTTTAATTCAAAATCTCCTGAAATTCAATTATTATTAAAAATTTTGATTCAAATTTTTTGTTGAAATAATTATTTCTAATAACTTTAATCATAATCATGGTAATTTAAATTATTTAAAACATTTTTCAATTCAAAATACTCTAAAATTCAATTATTGTCTAAATTTCGGTTAAATTAGAATTATTTTTAAAAAACCAGTTGGGTAAAGAGAAATTTTGTCAAAAAAAAATTTGCCAAATTAAAAATTCTATTGAGTAAAAGGTCGTTTAAAAAGAAATTATGTTAAATGCTATTTTGAAAAATAAAAATTCGTGTAAAAAAATAATTATATAAAGCAGTAGTTGACGCGGTCAATAATAAATCATTAACTTGGCGAGTTTTTAGGAAACAAAAAATTCGCTAAAATTTAAAATTCTTGAATTCTGTCATTTTTAAAATGATTTTTTGAAAAAATTAGTATTTAGTGGCTTTTGGCGAAAATTAGTAGTAAAAAAAGTAGCCTTTTGGAAAAAAAAGTATATTAAAAAAGTAAAAAAGTGTGTCATTTCGAAGCCTAAAAAAATTATAATAAATGTATAATAAAAAAATTAATTTTCAACTTTTAAAATTTTTTATACTTACAATCCAATGTTTTGTCGAAGCTTGCTGATTTAACATCAATTGGAAATCTAATCTTCCAGGGAATTCATCACGAGGAGCAACCATTGTCTGTACATACATACTATTGTATGCCTGCTGTTGTTGTTGATGATGAACAGATTGACTTGAATATAAACTCAAATATTTTTTATCACTATCAGGATAAACATTATCATCAAAAATTTCACTTGTAAATTGATCCACCTCTCTGAAATTTTTATTATAAATTTATAATTATTTATGCCTAAAAAATATTTACATACTCAAAACGCGAAGTACATAACCATGAAATGTACAAGCATTTATAAAATTCATATATAACCATCTTTTGAAGTATTTTGTTTAACATTTAAAAGAAAACATAAATAAAATATTATTTCTATTTCTGAAATTTTATGGATATTTTACAATTTTTGTAAAATATCTTATGATGCAATCAATTTAGAATCAGTTTCTATGCGGTGGATAGTGAAGAGAGAAAAAAACTTACATTCCATCGGGTCCAAAATCATTTTTGATGTGATCCATAATTGCATTGTCAAAAAGAGCTGATTCTTGTGAATCTGATAAAATATTCCCTCCCGGGTGCATTGTGAATTAAGAATATTTTTTAATAATAAAAATTAAACCGGCACAACAAACACTTGTGAACACCATGCACACCAGAAACCATTTGTAAACGAAATAAATGATGCTGCAAGACCAGAGACAGATATAACATTAGGTGCGTCTAATAAAAAATCATCAGTGCATTTACTGAAATAACCGCTCTTTTTGAAAAATCGATAAATAATACTTTTATTTCTAAATTCTTACACTATATTTATATTCCCGGCTGGTAGATAATAAAAATTTACAATATATCATTATTTATTTTCTTCTACAACTAGTATAAATTGACAAAAATTAAACAAATGAAAAAATATTCTAGGTTATGTTAGATGCGCCAGTGAAATGTGAACGAACTTTACATTTTATTATCAACCTTGCTTTCGACAGGGAACAAAGAACTTAAAAAAATAAAAAGACAAAAAAAAAAGTCTGAATAACAAGAAAATAGGAATGAGGGTGGGGATATTGCGAGTATTGTGACCTTGAGAAACATTGTGCTTGCAGCAGGTACAAAATACATTGTATATATGTATATACAATGTACCAAATGTTTTTTTGAATACTGAATGGGATCGACTTTCAAAATCAGGTAGATTTAATTTTAAAGTGTCCTAGTTTCTATTTACAATAAGTTTTTTACATTGTAATGCTAAAGAAAACTACTGCAAATTTTATATACTGTCTGTAGTACCTATTTCATTTTAATTTTCAAATCTTTCCGAAATAAAATTGAATACATTATTTCAATATACATATTTTATTTTTTAATATTTTCAAATATAATTATTTATTGATGTATAAAATTTTCGTATACATTACAGAAAGTTTAGTGATAATAATACTTAAAATGTCAAATTACACGTGACTTTTTTTAGGTTATAAAATAAAATATTTAGGCGCGAAATTTAAATATATTTAAACGTAAATTCGTTGTGGCAGTTTTAGAAAAATTTTATAATACGCAATAATTTTTATTGATGTTTATGCAATTCATTTTTGACAATTATTTAATAAAAATTTTATATATTTACCTTGGAATTTGAATTTTAAAGATGAATTTGCACAGAATAAAGTTTAATTTGACAGCTGTAAAAATTTAATTTAAAAAAGTATGAAAATAATATAGGTAATGTCAATTTCTTCATTGATTGTTCAAAATAGTATAATTTACATAAATATTAATTGATTATTGTATTTATTAATTTTTAAATTATTTATCTGTAAAATGTCAAAATTTAAGATTTTATACGAATTAAACTCAATAGGATTTTAAACATTTTATTTTTTATTTATCAAATTTTTAACTAAAATTCTTCTCTAAATTAATTATTTTCAATAATTTTAATGAAATTCTTCACAAATTCAATTATTTAAAAAAAATTTACTTTAAAAATTTCTAAAATTGAATTATTTTCAAAATTTTTCATCTAAAACTTTTTGAAATTTAATAATTTCAATTATAACTCTTCCGAAATTTAATTATTATTTTTACTGATTTTTATAATATTCTTCGAAAATTCGATTATCTGAAAGCATTTTTCGATTAAAAATATTTGAAATTCAATTTTTGCCTGTAATTTCTAATAAATTCTCCATCAACAGAAGTCAACAAAAATTTTAATTAAAAATCACTCGAAGTTTTAATTATTTTCAAAAAAAAATGTGAATTATTAATCTTTGAATATTCAATTACTTATCAAAATTTTATCTAAAATTATTTAATAAATTATTTTTAATTCTGTAAAATTTAATTAATATCTGAAATTTAACGAAATCTTTTGAAATTCAATAAATTTTTAACTGTAACACTTCCAAAATTCAATTTTTTAAAAATAATTTTAATATTTCTTTAATAATTAAATTGTTTAAAAAAAGTTTCAAATCAAAACACTAAAATGGAATAATTGTTGATAGAAATTTAAAAAAAAAACTACAGCAATTTAAATTTGCAGAAAAATTTCAATTCAAATCTTCTGCCAATCAATTATTTAAAAATTTGAAACTTATAATTATTTTTCGAAATTTTTTTTGACTATTAAAACTAAAAAAACTACGTAAAATTTTTATATTTGAATAAATTGCTTGAATTCAAATTCAGAAAATTTTAAAAATCGAATTTTAAGAATTTTTTTTTAAATTTGTCCTATTTAATAAAAATTTTGAAAATTTCTTTTAGTTGGATTCTGAAATATTTGAAATAAATTTTCTTGATAAATATTCTTACAGAATTATTCTTATTAAAGAATTCAATAAAATTAACTTATTAACTAATTAAATTTAGTAATAATAAAAAAAAAATCGTCCTTTTCAAATTTTTTTGGGATTGTAAATTGACTATTTAATAAAAATTTTATTTATAAATTTTCCAGAACAATTTAATTTAAAAATGTGTTGAAATTTGGACATTTCACTGGTAAAAAAATTAATTTTCACCTAATATTTTGATATATTGAATAAATAAATAAATCTATACACTAATGAATTAATATAAATAAATTAGACTATTTTGAACAATAATTATTAATAAAAATAATTATTTAATAGAAATATAACTATTTATCTAATATAAAACAATTTTTTTTATAGATGAGGAATTTCGTGAAAAAATAATGTCTCTTGAAGTATCGAAAGATACAAATTCATCATCAAAATGGGGATTAATTCTCGTATCATTGACAGGAGGTTTGGCAACAATTTTAAGTGTAATTTGCATTCCTTTTGTTAGTCCAGCATTGAGAAAAGTATGTCTACCTTATGTGCCAGCGACAACAAAGCAAGTTGACAATATTTTAAAAGCCTTATCAGGACGCAATGGAACACTCATTGATCTTGGCAGTGGTGATGGTCGTATAGTTGTTGCAGCAGCTAAATCTGGTTTCAAAGCATATGGTATTGAATTAAATCCATGTTTAATTGCTTATTCAAAAGTTTTAGCCCTCACAAAGGGTCTATCGTCAAATGCATCATTCTTTAGAGGCGATTTATGGAAATGTAATTTATCAAATTATAATAATATTGTAATATTCGGCGTCTCACAAATGATGGCCGACATTGAAAAAAAATTCAATAATGAATTAAATAAAAATACCATTGTGGTTGCTTGTCGTTTTCCATTGCCAAATTCAATGCCAGTGATGACAATTGGTCATGGAATTGACACTGTTTGGGTTTATAAAATGCCTCTAAAAAAGCATTGAATCGTCAAATAAATAATCACAATGAAAGTCGAATAATTTCTCTTTATAATAATAATAATAATACTAATAATAATTGTACATATACATAAATTCTGAATTTATTTTAAGATAGATGATTTAATGAAACGAAATAAAATTAATAGAAAAATTTCTTTTGTTTTTATATTTAAAAGGCCAAGTGTGTTTAAAAGATTTTATACATTATATAAATATTTACAATTTTTTTTTAGAATAAATAATAATTATCCGATTTAGGATATTTTTATATTGTGAGCAGTCTTCCATGTGAGTCCATTTCCATAGGGACCGTGAGTTGATGGTAAAAGAATGTACCACCATGTTCTGGGAAATAATTTTATAATTTACTGTTTTTTTTTTTTTTTTTTATTATGTTTAATTTAAAATTCTTCAAATTTGTTTTAAAATTTAAATAAATTTAATTTTATTTAAATAAAATGTTTCTTTTTTTTTTTTTTTTTTTGAAATATTTTGGAGCAAATTTTGGTTTTTTTTTATAAACATTTGGAAAAGAAAAAAAAATTATTTTTAAATTTTTCATATGATCAATCTAATAATAAAATTGAAACGTACCTGCCATTTAATCCTAAAAATTGCCTCCAATTTTCTCTTGATCCAAGATCATAAGGATTTCGATATTTTCGTCCAAGGGATTTATTTTTTTCTTGCTCGGAACGATTAATATGAGCTTCAATACTGGTTTCACCTTGTGAAATAAGACCCGCATGCCACCAAGTTAAAGCTCCAAGCGCAGCAAGTGTCGCGACACAAATTAATGCAGCAAAAATAATTAATTTTCGTCGAAATTCACCAAAAGCTCTATCCACTGCATGTTGAACTATTTTATCTCGTTCCTCTTTTGTTAAATGATCCATAGATTCCATCTAATCAAAAATATAATTATTATAAATTAATAATAATAATTTATTTAATTATGAATAATAAATTATTAATATTTATTATTATATACAATTTTTGAGAGTATAATACAAATAATATTTTACCACAGGTATTATAACTGAATTATTAATTCGAACTGGATGTCCATCTAATTCTGGATCATCTGGAAAAAATTCTTCGTACGCTATTTCTAATCCAAATATCATTATAAATAGTACACCAATCACAGTAAATGCCATGTATTGGAAAAAATGTCGATGATTATAATGTCCCACGCAATTATTTAACCAAGCTAAAATTTTTTTCGTTAAGAAAATAAATTTAAAAAAATATAAACATTCATGAAGATAAACAGGTTTGCCACAAAATTATCATTATAATTTTCCATGACTTACAGACAATATTTTGTGTTTTTCCCTGACACTTGCTAATTTTGTTCTTTTATAACAAATAAGAATTTTATTTTTAAAAAAATTGCGATAAATGATAATTCGATTAAATAAAAATTATGTTAAACATTGTATAAAGAACAATTTAAATTCTTAAAAAAAAAAAAATTTAATTACATTTTTTCAAAAGTTTAACTGGATTTTTTTTTTAAATTCAATTATTTTCAATGCTTTCAATAAAATTTTACGAAATTTCAATTTTTTTTACAATTCTTTTAATTCAAAAATTCATTTGTTTTCAAAAAATCAAATTTAAATTATTATTAATTTAAAAAATTTAATTATTTCATAATTTTGGATTAAATTCTTTGATAATTGAATTATTTTTCAAAATTTTTAAGTTTAAAATGTTTTAAAAATAGAAAAAATCAAAACTTTTAATTGAAACTTTTTTTAATATTGGAATTATTTATCTATTAAAAATTTCAATAAAAATTTTCCTGATTTTCCTAACTTGTGACAATTCTGATAAACAAAATAGTTTTAGTAAAATTTTTCAATTAATAACAATAATTTAATAAGGATACGACAGTGATGATCCATTTTGAGAACACATTTATTGCAAACAGAACAATGATGAGTTCTTGGTGGTTTTGGTTTAATGCATTTTTTACAAATACTAACAGCCTCTGGAATTAAACCACCCTGAGGTGGATAGCCTGCAGTCACTTTTACTCCCATATAATAATGAAATGTGACATTTATTAATAACCAATTTCCAAAGATAAGAAGAAAAATTGTTGACGTTGGACTTTTTTCCCACCAATATGGTAAACCAATCCAATAAGCAATAAATACTATGAACACTTTTAAAAGACTCACTATTGTCACAAATACCTGGAAAAATAAATTTATCATCCAATCGTGATAACAGAAAAATTAAAAGAATTTCTATTTAAAAAAATTTTTAATTAACAAAGTTTTTATTAAAGAAAATTTTAATTCCAACTAATTTTTATTTAACAGAATTCTCATTTAAGAAAAATTCTACTTAGTTCGTTTTTTTGTCTATTTTTGTAGACACAAAATTTTGTTAAATTGAAATTATATTAATTTAAAAATTTTTAAAATAGTTAAATGTAAATTGAAAAATTTTGCATAATATTAAATTCCACTTTATACAATTTTTCTAAATAGAAAATCGATAATTTAATATTCGACGCCGTAAAAATTTTTTGAAGTTAAATGTTGGTATTAGTATTAAATAATAAATTATTCATATTAATGAATAATTTACGTTATTTGAAGTTGAATTGATAAAATAAAATTGAATCAAATAATTTTTATTTATATTAAAAAACCAAATATTTCACTGAAAAAAATTAATTAATTGTTATCCAAATTTCAAAAATCATTTATTAGATTTAATAAATAGTAGTAAATATAATTATTTACTTAATGAATATAAGATATATCATATGTTAAGGCAAAATTTTTAATTTGCATTTGCTTTGGGAAAAAAGTAAAAAAAAATTTTTGCAACTAATAGTTACTTTAATTTATTCATAAAAAATTCCAGAAAATTCCCTTTTAACTTCACAAATATATAATTAAATTTGTTTATAAATATAGAAATTTTGTTCTCGCATTGCTAAATAATTAAATGAGAATATTTTTTTAAATAAAAATATTTATTTCTACTTACTGGACCAAGAGAAGATGTAAAATTTTCTACAAACCAAAAAATTGGCTCCAATAAAATATCACAAACATAACTCCAGCTTAAAAAGTCATTATAAAAAAGAGACTTGACAATAATAAGAAGACGTCTATATTTTTCTTTGATATTAAACCTAAATGATAAAAAAAAAGAAAAAGAATAAATTCAAATTACTAATTGAGGATGAAATTAACGTAACCTTTTAAATACATCTTTGAAATTGTTTTTAATACAATTTTTTATAAAATTATAATTGGAAAATTATTTTCAAAAATGGATTTATCAGGTTTTGTTAAAGTGCACCAAAATGAATTTATAATTAAATATCTATATGAATTTATAATGTAAATAATTACCACTTGTAGCAAGAGGCTCGTTTTAAAAACCATTTTATTCTTGACATTTTTAAATGAAATAATCGAAAACACTTATTTATGTAATTTGTCATTATTTCCGAAAATTAAATTGTGCGATGTTCATCAAGAAGAATTATTTGGAAGTATTTAATTATGTCATTTATCATTATATTTGATCTATTCGAAAAATAAGATAAATAGAAGTTAACCTCAAAAAGCATTATGTTTGTTTTATTCTAACTTAGAAATACAAATTAAATCTTTTATTACAGTCTTAAAGTAATAATAATTTGTTTAGAGTATTAAAAAAACTACATTTCATTCAAGTATAAAGTTATTTTGTAAATTGTAAAGAGGATTTGACACAAAAACAAATGGAGATAAAAAAAATTTTTTGATAGCTATCCGACCAGTAGCAGACGACACGGAAGTGCATATACTACGCATATCAAATTTCTTACCTTTTATACGCATGTACCTATTTTGAAAATAATTTCAAATAAAATATTTTTAAATAAAAAAAAAATACATAGTTCTATACATTTTAAATGTAAATATAAAATTATACTTGAATTTATTCTGTAAAATGTATTTTTATTAAATTCTTTCATTTTCATTTTTACCTGAAATGTTGTATTGATTAAACGCGCGAAATTTCAAAATTATAAATTTAATTAAAATTTTTGTATGCCTATTTACATTGTATCAAATAAATAATTTAATAATAAATGAACGACAATTAAATAGTAATATTATATAAAATTATAATTAGGTTTCGGAAGTAGAGGTTTTTATGAATAAAAACAATAATTTATGTGTAATAATATAATTTAATCAATCTATCATGTAATATTTAATTACAATATATATAATATAGTTTATATAATACTCGAGGTACAGGAAAATCACACAAGGTTTCAGCGTTTTATTTCGTTCAGTAAGTTTTTTTTTTTATTTTAGCTGTTTAATTTTTATTGTTCTTGAATTTACAGGAACTCTACTAAATTTGTGTTTGTTTAACAAAAAAAAAATGAAGAGTTTATAATTATTAAAAAAAAAAAAAAAAAAAAAATTATAAATAAATATAAATTCTAATAAATTTAGCAAAATAAATTATTTTCTATTTTATAAAAATTGAAAGTCACACTTTTCCTTAAAATACATTAATAATTCGAATGAACTTCTTAACTATTAATTTATTATTTATAATGTAAGTATCAATAAAATGTAAATAAAAATTATGAATTTATTATTTCATTATTTTGCAATATTTTATTTTATTAAGAGAATAAATACTGAACATTTTAATATTTATAATTTAAACATTGAAAATATATAAAACATTTTTCTCTCTTCATTTTTTTTAAACATTCTCAATCTTCTTTTTAAAGTTTCTTCAAAACATCCGGAATTTTTTAACATTTTTCTAAATTCTTTAGATACAATCAACTTTTGTTAATTAACTATAGATCAACTTTCTTTTTAAATATAGTTTTAAAATAAAATAAGTTATATATTTTTCAGAATTTAATAATAATAATAATAATAATTTATTATTATAATAGTGTCATTGCCAAGAAAAATTTAATTTTCATTTTTTTTATTTCTACACTTTTTTTCGTTTAAATTTTATTAATTCTCACATTTCAACATTAATTTTGTTTTTAAAATACATACAATAAATATAGGTACAAAGTTTGTAAATAAAAAAAAAAAAATAATAATTATAAAACTATGACAATGACTTTTTTAATTTATGGAAAATTTGTCAAAAATTTGAAAGACATTTTAATGGCATTCAAGCCAGTGATGTAGTGATAGAAGTTTAAAAAAAATTTATTCAACAATTTAATTTGTCTTCAACAATTTATTTAAAATAATTTTTATTCTCTCTCTATATATATATCTTTCTCTCTATTGTATATATTATTAAAATTTTTAATTTTTTCAAATTTGAAATAAATAGAAAAAAAAAAATTTTTAGTATACATACTGAGGTTTTTTCTTAAGATTACCCTGTTTATGTTCCAACTACATCACTGACGATATTTGTTTCTTTTTGTTCTCTTTGTTTTTTGTTTTTGTTTTTTTTTGTTTTTTAATATCTCAGGAAAATATTTTTGTATATATTGTATATTTTATATCTTTTGTAATATATATTATTTTTTTTAGAGACAAGAATCTCGTTAAATATTTCTTCTATCAGCAAATAGATTTTATCGCATTAAGCGAAAAGCATTTTGAAAGACATGGGTGAGTAAAAGGTACGTACATATTTACAAAAAGGCGTAAAAAAATATTTTACGAATTCATTTACATTTGTTATGAATTCAATAATATTTTTTTTAACAGAAATAAATTATATTTCCTTAAAAATTTAGCCGATAGTTTTGCTGAATATTACAATTTTCTTTTGAAAAAATAATAATTTTTTTATCAACTTTTAATATTCAAAAAAGCAAAAATTTTGAAAATTTCTTTAATATTTAATAAAACTATAATTCGTGCGAAATAAAATATTTAATTTTTCTCTTAACAATATTTATGTCTTACTACTAATATATATATATATTTTTTTTGTAAATAATGCAATATTTAAAATGTTCTGTCTTTGCAATTTATTTGTCTTGCTTCATGATGTTTGTAAAATTCTTTTCTTATTGGTTTTTTATCAACAAGTTTTTTTTTTGCTTATCATATTAAACAATGCTTAATTCCTCAAAAAGATTTTTCAATGAGAAATACACAGTTAACTTTTTAATATATTGTTTACATCGAATATTAGAAAAAAATGTATTCATTTTTATTTTCAAATCTTCTTAATTTTCATTTTAATACATTTATAGAAGTATTTAAAATTTTGAACATTCGTTTTCATTATATTCAACGATTTCAATTTTAGTTGGAAATTTTTAAAAATTATTTTATTAATCTTATATAATTAATTTATTAATTCCTTAGATATAGTTGTATTTATATTTAATTTTTCAATTAATCAACATTTTCAAAGAGAAGATAATGGAATTGTATTTGAAATATTTTTCTTTTTTTTGTAAAATTGCGAGTAACTTTTGATGTTAACTTTCGGAAAATTGAAATTAACTTCTTTTTTTTATAGATAGTATTCGTAAATAATCTTTTAACGCCTTAATTATATTTTACTCAAGGAAAATGGGAATTAGAATGTGATTATAATTCACGAAATTGAATAAAGATCTCATAAGACTGTATCGAGAGTGTTCAAGCTTTGTAGAAGATGCTCATCTTTAGAGCACCATTGGACCAATTCCTCGATTGTCACAACTCCATCTTTATTTGCATCCATTTGCTGAAACAATCGATCACAAAAAAAGATTGTTAAAAAAACACTTTTCAATTGCAATAAAAATTGAAAATAAAATAACTCAAAGTAGCTAGAAATTAGGGAAAATTTTTCTGTCAACGAATCAAGTAAATTTAAGGGAAAATAATCTATTATAGAGTATAAAAATAGATTCAAATTTTAATTCATCCAAATTTCATTTCAATCTAAATTTTAATTTATACATTTCAATTGCTCCAACGTTAAAACAATTCTAATTTTTATTGGTTAAAACAAAATTATTAAAATTTAAATTTTAATCAAATACAAATTCAATCGATCGAAAATTGATAAAATTTTAATTAACTTCAGTTGTAATTTTAGTTTATAATATTTCAGTTTTAAATTATTCGAATTTCAAATTGACCCTAAATTTTATTTCATAAAAATGAATTTCTTTTTTTAATTCTTACTTATACGGTGGAAAGAAAAATTTGATTTGTTATGTATAATTTTCAAGAAGGATTAAATCTTTCTTACGTGAAATATTCGATCGACATGTTCACGTGCTGCTACTTGTGGTTCAGCAATTTGGGGTTGCGTGTAACGACCTAGCATCTCATAAATTGATTCCACAACGTCTAGCATCTCTTCTTTACTGATTAGTCCATCGCCATCTAAATCATAAAGTCCAAATACCCATTGAAGTTTTTCTTCCACTGAACCCCGAGATACTTTAGAAAGAATAGCTAAAAATTCCTGCAAGGACAGAAAATTAATTTTATTAAATATCAATAAAAAAAATTATTTTCTGCTATTTATCAAAAAAAATATAATAAAAATATAATAATAAAATACAAGGCATTTTATTGTTTATTCAAGCTCCTGTACAAACATTAAGGGCTTTAAAACTTTCTCCATAAGCATTCTAGATGTATTTTCAGTCGCTGATGAAGGATTTAGGGGAAAATTGACAATTTAGCAGTTAAAAAATGTAAAAATTATTTGTCTAAGAAAAATTGAAGTTTTTTTAAGACGGTTGCCTTAAGCGTGGTAACAGGTGTCTTCCTCTACTCGGATCGGGCTGTCAAATTTTTTCTACACTTTTAGGTGTATTTTGTGCAAGAAATTGCAATAAAATAGTCTGCCTAAGAAAAATTGAAATTTTTGAAAAATTTTTTTTTTTGAAAAACGATTTAAAGGTCAAAATCTGTGTCTTCCTCTACTCGGATCTGGCTGTTAAATTTTTTCTACACTTTTAGGTGTATTTTGTGCAAGAAATTGCAATAAAATAGTCTGCCTAAGAAAAATTGAAATTTTTGAAAAATTTTTTTTTTTGAAATACGATTTAAAGGTCAAAATATGTGTCTTCCTCTACTCGGATCGGGCTGTCAAATTTTTTCTACACTTTCAGGTGTATTTTGTGCAAGAAATTGCAATAAAATAGTCTGCCTAAGAAAAATTGAAATTTTTGAAAATTTTGTTTTTTCGAAAATCTCTTAAAAGGTCATAATAGGGGTCTTCCTCTACTCGGATCGGGCTGTCAAATTTTTTCTACACTTTTAGGTGTATTTTGTGCAAGAATTTGAAATAAAATAGTCTGCCTAAGAAAAATTGAAATTTTTGAAAAATTTTTTTTTTTGAAAAACGATTTAAAGGTCAAAATCTGTGTCTTCCTCTACTCGGATCTGGCTGTTAAATTTTTTCTACACTTTTAGGTGTATTTTGTGCAAGAAATTGCAATAAAATAGTCTGCCTAAGAAAAATTGAATTTTTTTGAAAATTTTTTTTTTTCGAAAAACGATTTAAAGGTCAAAATATGTGTCTTCCCCTACTCGGATCGGGCTGTCAAATTTTTTCTACACTTTTAGGTGTATTTTGTGCAAGAAATTGCAATAAAATAGTCTGCCTAAGAAAAATTGAAATTTTTGAAAAATTTTTTTTTTTGAAAAACGATTTAAAGGTCAAAATCTGTGTCTTCCTCTACTCGGATCTGGCTGTTAAATTTTTTCTACACTTTTAGGTGTATTTTGTGCAAGAAATTGCAATAAAATAGTCTGCCTAAGAAAAATTGAAATTTTTGAAAAATTTTTTTTTTTGAAATACGATTTAAAGGTCAAAATATGTGTCTTCCTCTACTCGGATCGGGCTGTCAAATTTTTTCTACACTTTCAGGTGTATTTTGTGCAAGAAATTGCAATAAAATAGTCTGCCTAAGAAAAATTGAAATTTTTGAAAATTTTGTTTTTTCGAAAATCTCTTAAAAGGTCATAATAGGGGTCTTCCTCTACTCGGATCGGGCTGTCAAATTTTTTCTACACTTTTAGGTGTATTTTGTGCAAGAAATTGCAATAAAATAGTCTGCCTAAGAAAAATTGAATTTTTTAAAAAATTTTTTTTTTCGAAATACGATTTAAAGGTCAAAATATGTGTCTTCCTCTACTCGGATCGGGCTGTCAAATTTTTTCTACACTTTCAGGTGTATTTTGTGCAAGAAATTGCAATAAAATAGTCTGCCTAAGAAAAATTGAATTTTTTTGAAAATTTTTTTTTTTCGAAAAACGATTTAAAGGTCAAAATATGTGTCTTCCCCTACTCGGATCGGGCTGTCAAATTTTTTCTACACTTTTAGGTGTATTTTGTGCAAGAAATTGCAATAAAATAGTCTGCCTAAGAAAAATTGAAATTTTTGAAAAATTTTTTTTTTTGAAAAACGATTTAAAGGTCAAAATCTGTGTCTTCCTCTACTCGGATCTGGCTGTTAAATTTTTTCTACACTTTTAGGTGTATTTTGTGCAAGAAATTGCAATAAAATAGTCTGCCTAAGAAAAATTGAATTTTTTTGAAAATTTTTTTTTCGAAAAACGATTTAAAGGTCAAAATATGTGTCTTCCCCTACTCGGATCGGGCTGTCAAATTTTTTCTACACTTTTAGGTGTATTTTGTGCAAGAAATTGCAATAAAATAGTCTGCCTAAGAAAAATTGAATTTTTTTGAAAATTTTTTTTTTCGAAAAACGATTTAAAGGTCAAAATATGTGTCTTCCCCTACTCGGATCGGGCTGTCAAATTTTTTCTACACTTTCAGGTGTATTTTGTGCAAGAAATTGCAATAAAATAGTCTGCCTAAGAAAAATTGAAATTTTTGAAAATTTTGTTTTTTCGAAAATCTCTTAAAAGGTCATAATAGGGGTCTTCCTCTACTCGGATCGGGCTGTCAAATTTTTTCTACACTTTTAGGTGTATTTTGTGCAAGAAATTGAAATAAAATAGTCTGCCTAAGAAAAATTGAATTTTTTTGAAAATTTTTTTTTCGAAAAACGATTTAAAGGTCAAAATATGTGTCTTCCCCTACTCGGATCGGGCTGTCAAATTTTTTCTACACTTTTAGGTGTATTTTGTGCAAGAAATTGCAATAAAATAGTCTGCCTAAGAAAAATTGAAATTTTTGAAAAATTTTTTTTTTTGAAAAACGATTTAAAGGTCAAAATCTGTGTCTTCCTCTACTCGGATCTGGCTGTTAAATTTTTTCTACATTTTTAGGTGTATTTTGTGCAAGAAATTGCAATAAAATAGTCTGCCTAAGAAAAATTGAAATTTTTGAAAAATTTTTTTTTTTGAAATACGATTTAAAGGTCAAAATATGTGTCTTCCTCTACTCGGATCGGGCTGTCAAATTTTTTCTACACTTTCAGGTGTATTTTGTGCAAGAAATTGCAATAAAATAGTCTGCCTAAGAAAAATTGAAATTTTTGAAAATTTTGTTTTTTCGAAAATCTCTTAAAAGGTCATAATATGTGTCTTCCCCTACTCGGATCGGGCTGTCAAATTTTTTCTACACTTTCAGGTGTATTTTGTGCAAGAAATTGCAATAAAATAGTCTGCCTAAGAAAAATTGAATTTTTTTGAAAATTTTTTTTTTCGAAAAACGATTTAAAGGTCAAAATATGTGTCTTCCCCTACTCGGATCGGGCTGTCAAATTTTTTCTACACTTTCAGGTGTATTTTGTGCAAGAAATTGCAATAAAATAGTCTGCCTAAGAAAAATTGAAATTTTTGAAAATTTTGTTTTTTCGAAAATCTCTTAAAAGGTCATAATAGGGGTCTTCCTCTACTCGGATCGGGCTGTCAAATTTTTTCTACACTTTTAGGTGTATTTTGTGCAAGAAATTGCAATAAAATAGTCTGCCTAAGAAAAATTGAATTTTTTTGAAAATTTTTTTTTTCGAAAAACGATTTAAAGGTCAAAATATGTGTCTTCCCCTACTCGGATCGGGCTGTCAAATTTTTTCTACACTTTCAGGTGTATTTTGTGCAAGAAATTGAAATAAAATAGTCTGCCTAAGAAAAATTGAATTTTTTTGAAAATTTTTTTTTTCGAAATACGATTTAAAGCTCAAAATATGTGTCTTCCTCTACTCGGATGGGGCTGTCAAATTTTTTCTACACTTTCAGGTGTATTTTGTGCAAGAAATTGCAATAAAATAGTCTGCCTAAGAAAAATTGAATTTTTTAAAAAATTTTTTTTTTCGAAATACGATTTAAAGGTCAAAATATGTGTCTTCCTCTACTCGGATCGGGCTGTCAAATTTTTTCTACACTTTCAGGTGTATTTTGTGCAAGAAATTGCAATAAAATAGTCTGCCTAAGAAAAATTGAATTTTTTTGAAAATTTTTTTTTTTCGAAAAACGATTTAAAGGTCAAAATATGTGTCTTCCCCTACTCGGATCGGGCTGTCAAATTTTTTCTACACTTTCAGGTGTATTTTGTGCAAGAAATTGCAATAAAATAGTCTGCCTAAGAAAAATTGAATTTTTTAAAAAATTTTTTTTTTCGAAATACGATTTAAAGGTCAAAATATGTGTCTTCCTCTACTCGGATCGGGCTGTCAAATTTTTTCTACACTTTCAGGTGTATTTTGTGCAAGAAATTGCAATAAAATAGTCTGCCTAAGAAAAATTGAATTTTTTTGAAAATTTTTTTTTTTCGAAAAACGATTTAAAGGTCAAAATATGTGTCTTCCCCTACTCGGATCGGGCTGTCAAATTTTTTCTACACTTTTAGGTGTATTTTGTGCAAGAAATTGCAATAAAATAGTCTGCCTAAGAAAAATTGAAATTTTTGAAAAATTTTTTTTTTTGAAAAACGATTTAAAGGTCAAAATCTGTGTCTTCCTCTACTCGGATCTGGCTGTTAAATTTTTTCTACACTTTTAGGTGTATTTTGTGCAAGAAATTGCAATAAAATAGTCTGCCTAAGAAAAATTGAATTTTTTTGAAAATTTTTTTTTTCGAAAAACGATTTAAAGGTCAAAATATGTGTCTTCCCCTACTCGGATCGGGCTGTCAAATTTTTTCTACACTTTCAGGTGTATTTTGTGCAAGAAATTGCAATAAAATAGTCTGCCTAAGAAAAATTGAAATTTTTGAAAATTTTGTTTTTTCGAAAATCTCTTAAAAGGTCATAATAGGGGTCTTCCTCTACTCGGATCGGGCTGTCAAATTTTTTCTACACTTTTAGGTGTATTTTGTGCAAGAAATTGAAATAAAATAGTCTGCCTAAGAAAAATTGAATTTTTTTGAAAATTTTTTTTTCGAAAAACGATTTAAAGGTCAAAATATGTGTCTTCCCCTACTCGGATCGGGCTGTCAAATTTTTTCTACACTTTTAGGTGTATTTTGTGCAAGAAATTGCAATAAAATAGTCTGCCTAAGAAAAATTGAAATTTTTGAAAAATTTTTTTTTTTGAAAAACGATTTAAAGGTCAAAATCTGTGTCTTCCTCTACTCGGATCTGGCTGTTAAATTTTTTCTACACTTTTAGGTGTATTTTGTGCAAGAAATTGCAATAAAATAGTCTGCCTAAGAAAAATTGAAATTTTTGAAAAATTTTTTTTTTTGAAATACGATTTAAAGGTCAAAATATGTGTCTTCCTCTACTCGGATCGGGCTGTCAAATTTTTTCTACACTTTCAGGTGTATTTTGTGCAAGAAATTGCAATAAAATAGTCTGCCTAAGAAAAATTGAAATTTTTGAAAATTTTGTTTTTTCGAAAATCTCTTAAAAGGTCATAATATGTGTCTTCCCCTACTCGGATCGGGCTGTCAAATTTTTTCTACACTTTCAGGTGTATTTTGTGCAAGAAATTGCAATAAAATAGTCTGCCTAAGAAAAATTGAATTTTTTTGAAAATTTTTTTTTTCGAAAAACGATTTAAAGGTCAAAATATGTGTCTTCCCCTACTCGGATCGGGCTGTCAAATTTTTTCTACACTTTCAGGTGTATTTTGTGCAAGAAATTGCAATAAAATAGTCTGCCTAAGAAAAATTGAAATTTTTGAAAATTTTGTTTTTTCGAAAATCTCTTAAAAGGTCATAATAGGGGTCTTCCTCTACTCGGATCGGGCTGTCAAATTTTTTCTACACTTTTAGGTGTATTTTGTGCAAGAAATTGCAATAAAATAGTCTGCCTAAGAAAAATTGAATTTTTTTGAAAATTTTTTTTTTTCGAAAAACGATTTAAAGGTCAAAATATGTGTCTTCCCCTACTCGGATCGGGCTGTCAAATTTTTTCTACACTTTCAGGTGTATTTTGTGCAAGAAATTGAAATAAAATATTCTGCCTAAGAAAAATTGAATTTTTTTGAAAATTTTTTTTTTTCGAAAAACGCTTAAAAGGTCAAAATATGTGTCTTCCTCTACTCTGATTGGGCTGTCAAATTTTTTTTACACTTTTATGTGTATTTTGTGCAAGAAATTGCAATAAAATAGTCTGCCTAAGAAAAATTGAATTTTTTTGAAAATTTTTTTTTTCGAAAAACGATTTAAAGGTCAAAATATGTGTCTTCCCCTACTCGGATCGGGCTGTCAAATTTTTTCTACACTTTCAGGTGTATTTTGTGCAAGAAATTGAAATAAAATATTCTGCCTAAGAAAAATTGAATTTTTTTGAAAATTTTTTTTTTTCGAAAAACGCTTAAAAGGTCAAAATATGTGTCTTCCTCTACTCTGATTGGGCTGTCAAATTTTTTTTACACTTTTATGTGTATTTTGTGCAAGAAATTGCAATAAAATAGTCTGCCTAAGAAAAATTGAATTTTTTTGAAAATTTTTTTTTTCGAAATACGATTTAAAGCTCAAAATATGTGTCTTCCTCTACTCGGATGGGGCTGTCAAATTTTTTCTACACTTTCAGGTGTATTTTGTGCAAGAAATTGAAATAAAATATTCTGCCTAAGAAAAATTGAATTTTTTTGAAAATTTTTTTTTTTCGAAAAACGCTTAAAAGGTCAAAATATGTGTCTTCCTCTACTCTGATTGGGCTGTCAAATTTTTTTTACACTTTTATGTGTATTTTGTGCAAGAAATTGCAATAAAATAGTCTGCCTAAGAAAAATTGAATTTTTTTGAAAATTTTTTTTTTCGAAAAACGATTTAAAGGTCAAAATATGTGTCTTCCCCTACTCGGATCGGGCTGTCAAATTTTTTCTACACTTTCAGGTGTATTTTGTGCAAGAAATTGAAATAAAATATTCTGCCTAAGAAAAATTGAATTTTTTTGAAAATTTTTTTTTTTCGAAAAACGCTTAAAAGGTCAAAATATGTGTCTTCCTCTACTCTGATTGGGCTGTCAAATTTTTTTTACACTTTTATGTGTATTTTGTGCAAGAAATTGCAATAAAATAGTCTGCCTAAGAAAAATTGAATTTTTTTGAAAATTTTTTTTTTCGAAATACGATTTAAAGCTCAAAATATGTGTCTTCCTCTACTCGGATGGGGCTGTCAAATTTTTTCTACACTTTCAGGTGTATTTTGTGCAAGAAATTGCAATAAAATAGTCTGCCTAAGAAAAATTGAATTTTTTAAAAAATTTTTTTTTTCGAAATACGATTTAAAGGTCAAAATATGTGTCTTCCTCTACTCGGATCGGGCTGTCAAATTTTTTCTACACTTTCAGGTGTATTTTGTGCAAGAAATTGCAATAAAATAGTCTGCCTAAGAAAAATTGAAATTTTTGAAAATTTTGTTTTTTCGAAAATCTCTTAAAAGGTCATAATAGGGGTCTTCCTCTACTCGGATCGGGCTGTCAAATTTTTTCTACACTTTTAGGTGTATTTTGTGCAAGAAATTGCAATAAAATAGTCTGCCTAAGAAAAATTGAATTTTTTTGAAAATTTTTTTTTTTCGAAAAACGATTTAAAGGTCAAAATATGTGTCTTCCCCTACTCGGATCGGGCTGTCAAATTTTTTCTACACTTTCAGGTGTATTTTGTGCAAGAAATTGAAATAAAATATTCTGCCTAAGAAAAATTGAATTTTTTTGAAAATTTTTTTTTTTCGAAAAACGATTTAAAGGTCAAAATATGTGTCTTCCCCTACTCGGATCGGGCTGTCAAATTTTTTCTACACTTTTAGGTGTATTTTGTGCAAGAAATTGCAATAAAATAGTCTGCCTAAGAAAAATTGAATTTTTTTGAAAATTTTTTTTTTTCGAAAAACGATTTAAAGGTCAAAATATGTGTCTTCCCCTACTCGGATCGGGCTGTCAAATTTTTTCTACACTTTTAGGTGTATTTTGTGCAAGAAATTGCAATAAAATAGTCTGCCTAAGAAAAATTGAAATTTTTGAAAAATTTTTTTTTTTGAAAAACGATTTAAAGGTCAAAATCTGTGTCTTCCTCTACTCGGATCTGGCTGTTAAATTTTTTCTACACTTTTAGGTGTATTTTGTGCAAGAAATTGCAATAAAATAGTCTGCCTAAGAAAAATTGAATTTTTTTGAAAATTTTTTTTTTCGAAAAACGATTTAAAGGTCAAAATATGTGTCTTCCCCTACTCGGATCGGGCTGTCAAATTTTTTCTACACTTTCAGGTGTATTTTGTGCAAGAAATTGCAATAAAATAGTCTGCCTAAGAAAAATTGAAATTTTTGAAAATTTTGTTTTTTCGAAAATCTCTTAAAAGGTCATAATAGGGGTCTTCCTCTACTCGGATCGGGCTGTCAAATTTTTTCTACACTTTTAGGTGTATTTTGTGCAAGAAATTGCAATAAAATAGTCTGCCTAAGAAAAATTGAATTTTTTTGAAAATTTTTTTTTTTCGAAAAACGATTTAAAGGTCAAAATATGTGTCTTCCCCTACTCGGATCGGGCTGTCAAATTTTTTCTACACTTTCAGGTGTATTTTGTGCAAGAAATTGAAATAAAATATTCTGCCTAAGAAAAATTGAATTTTTTTGAAAATTTTTTTTTTTCGAAAAACGCTTAAAAGGTCAAAATATGTGTCTTCCTCTACTCTGATTGGGCTGTCAAATTTTTTTTACACTTTTATGTGTATTTTGTGCAAGAAATTGCAATAAAATAGTCTGCCTAAGAAAAATTGAATTTTTTTGAAAATTTTTTTTTTCGAAAAACGATTTAAAGGTCAAAATATGTGTCTTCCCCTACTCGGATCGGGCTGTCAAATTTTTTCTACACTTTCAGGTGTATTTTGTGCAAGAAATTGAAATAAAATATTCTGCCTAAGAAAAATTGAATTTTTTTGAAAATTTTTTTTTTTCGAAAAACGCTTAAAAGGTCAAAATATGTGTCTTCCTCTACTCGGATGGGGCTGTCAAATTTTTTCTACACTTTCAGGTGTATTTTGTGCAAGAAATTGCAATAAAATAGTCTGCCTAAGAAAAATTGAATTTTTTTGAAAATTTTTTTTTTCGAAATACGATTTAAAGGTCAAAATATGTGTCTTCCTCTACTCGGATCGGGCTGTCAAATTTTTTCTACACTTTTACGTGTATTTTGTGCAAGAAATTGCAATAAAATAGTCTGCCTAAGAAAAATTGAATTTTGTTGAAAATTTTTCTCTTTTCGAAAAACGCTTAAAAGGTCAAAATAGGGGTCTTCCTCTACTCGGATCGGGCTGTCAAATTTTTTCTACACTTTTAGGTGTATTTTGTGCAAGAAATTGCAATAAAAAGTCTGCCTAAGAAAAATTGAATTTTTTGGGGATATTTTTTAAGGTTATGTTAGAATTTTGGGTGGTAATAGGTGTCTTCTTCTACTTGTATTTGGCTGTCAATTTTTTTCTACACTTTTCGGAGTATTTTGTGCAAGAATTTGCTGTGAAATCGTCTGTCTAAGAAAAATTAAATTTTTTATGGAATTTAGGTGTTTTTACGGGTAGTAGGGGTCTGTCTTTACTTCTATCGGGGAGTCAATTTTTTAATACACTTTTGGGTGTATTTCGTGCAAGAAATTTTTTTGGTAATTTTATCATTATTTTGAATAATAAAATTACATTATTATAATGATTTTAAAATTTTCTTATAAGAAAGTTGACCAATGGGATGTTGGTAGCGCGTATTTGCGCGCGCGTGTTTTGCTAGTAATAATATTACTAAATATAAAAAATTTTTTTTCTTTTTTAATTTGAATCTGGAATTATGATTTTAAAACAAAATTGTTAATATTGAATAAAAAAAGAAATGAATACCTACGTTTAGTTTTTAAAAAAATATCCAGAAAGCTAACGCGAAATTTTTTCTTTTTCTGCAGGAAATTATTTTATATTGATACTAAAATTAATTAAAAGTCATTCATAATTTTTTTTTCTTTTAGAACAGAAAAGATTATTTATTTTTTTTTACAATCGAAACGACTATTTTAAAATGAATTATTAACAACAATTTCCTTGGAAATTACGTTTATCTAATATTTTTATTACCTAAAACAAAGCAAAAAACATAAATGAAAAGTGTAATAAATTTTTTTGTATATTTTAATACAAATTAATTTTTGAACGGTTTAATTAAAATAATATTATATTTGTATTTTTTTAAAAGTTTTAAAAAGAAAATTATTAAATTGGTTATTATTAAATTAAATTTGACAGTTTATGGAGTTAGAAGATAATTAAGTTCTAAAGATAAAGTTATTTCTTCATTTTCTATAAACAATTAGAAAAGTACTTACTTCAAAACTAATTTTGCCAGATTGTTTCCTCTTCATAGTGTTGAAGACATAATGAGCGTATTGACTCGCATCTGGAGCAAAGAGATAAAAGTTTAATTGCTTTTCTCTAAATTCAAAGAAATTAAATTACTATTATTTCTGTCAATAAGCATTGGTCATTCACATTAATCACGATGACATAAATCAATGCACAAAATTAAAAATAGACTTTCAATAGAAACAAAAAATTTAATTTTTTCAAATTTAAAAAAATACATTTATATTTATTTAGGTTGAAAAAATCTAAATGGAAAAAAATTGAAAAAAAAACCCGAAATAATAGTTACAGACAGAAATGGAAAATTTTTTTTAAAAAGTGGTAAAATAATTTTAAAAAATTAAGAAAAGAAGAAAAATATCCAAAAAATTTAAAAAAAATTGAAGAAAATAGCGGAAAAAATTATTAATTAAAATTATAATAATTAAAAGCAAAAGATACGATTTAATAGAAAAAAAATATATTATAAGAATCAAAAATTCTCAAAAAAAAATATAATTGTTAAATATTCTGTTTTGGCAAAATATTCTATCCTCTGTTAATTTCTTACCGCCAATTTCTCCTTCTGTCTGAACTTTTCGAGGCGTGTAATTTTGATAGCCAATTACATTTAAACTATTTTTACTTAGTTTTTAACACTTGTCAAGAACAATGCCATTGTCTATAACTGTCAATCATTTTCCTTTAACTGAATTTTAATTTCTCAAAATCTTTATAATATTTCAAAATATAATAATTTTATAATAATTTTGATTTTACCATAATTTTTAAAATAATTTTTACTTTTATAAAATGTATAATTATATTTTATTTATCTGTTAATAATTTTTATCTATTTTTTATTATATTAGAAGAATAGTTTAAATTTAATTTTCAATTCTCTTATTTGAATTATATATCTTCTTTCTCCTTCTATTATTTTTCTATTATGTTTCATAGCACTTTTTTTTCTTACTATAATACATATTTGAAGTAATATTTTACTTACAATAAGCCAAAACTAAATTCTTAATAAAATTTTACTTTTAATTAATATTTTATTTTATTTATAATTCTTTAAATGTTTTTTAATAATTTATATTATATTAATCTTTGACTATTAAAATAGCATTTCAAAGCCCCTTTAAAAAAAATTGTTCTTTTTTTAATTATATAAGTTAAATGCAGTTTATATTTTCCAAGCTCTAATTTAGCCAAATCTCTTTCATCAAGCCAATCACCAACCAACCGTAATCTATTGATGACAACACACCTCAAATGACATGTTTCAATTATATTTTTAACAAAGAAAATAATAATTTTCTTTTTTTACAAAGTTATATACATGTGAAGAAGCTATATCTGCGAAAGAAAGTATTAATTTTTAATTGTCTCAAATTATTGAAATATATTTAACGCTTCGCGACAAAAGGTATACCTGAGGTCCAAAAAACTTTAGGTTATTTTTGCTTTTTGGGCTGAAAATACACAATAATTACTCTTTATTCAAATCATTAATGTTTTTCTATAACATAAAAAAAATTCAATAAAATCTATTTTTAATTTTGTCTAATTAAAAAAGAATTTTTTATTGAAGACAAAACTGTCACTAAACATAACCTAAATTTTTTAGGAGCTTAAGTACCTTTTATTGCGGAATTATTTTCTATATGGGCAAATCCACAGAACCGGTTGATTTTGATTTAGGTACTTGAATTTTTAAATGTATGATATATCATTCAATTTATTGAATGGTCTATTCATGAAAAATATTGAACAATTTTCTAGAAATTTACTGAAGTAACAATAAGAGAAATATTTATAAATAATTATTTTGCATTTAAATAAAGACAATAGTTTTATAAATGTAATGATGAGAATGAAACTACAGATTTCTTCAATTTAAGTGCATACGACCCCAGATAGCACGTAAGCTTGCAGCAAGCTTCAAATGTCCCACCTAATACAAGCTTGCATGGTAAGCTTGCCGAAAAATTGCAGTGTAAGGTTACTGCAAGATTGCACAGTAAGATTATCGCAAGAATGCATGGTAAGCTTACCGAAAGATTGCAGTGTAAGGTTGTTGCAAGACTGCTCAGTGAGCTTGCACGGTAAGCTTGTCGCAAGGTTGGTGCAAGGTTGCCAAATAACCTTGACCAATCAGCAGAGAAGTTTGCAAGTTTGCTGCAACCTTCTGTGCTGATTGGCAAGGTTATTTGGCAACTTTGCACCAACCTTCCGAAAAGCTTATCGTGCAAGCTTACGGAGAAATCTTGCGATAATCTTACTGTGCAAGCTTATGGATCAATCTTGCGATAATCTTACTGTGCAATCTTGCAGTAACCTTACACTGCAATATTTCGGCAAGCTTACCATGCAAGCTTAGGTTAGGTGGGACATTTGAAGCTTGCGGCAAGCTTGCCGCGCAATATTGCCAACCTTGCGCGGTTGCTGCAAACTTACGTGCTATCTGGGACGGGTGATTTTTCGCATTTACTTTATATTTATTCAAATTCATTAAAAATTCATGATGTATGGATTCACCTGCTTGTTCTGACAAATCCCAAACCCGTCACCATGAAGAAAACGAAGGCAATCTTGAAGGTGTTCCGAAATCACGTGAATTTTCAGTGTTGTTGGACCAATGAAATGCAAACATTCACACTTTTCGAGATTTAGATATATATAAAATGATATAAATATAAAAATAATTATTAGGATATACTTATAAAATAGGAAAAATTTGAGATTAACATGAAATCAATCGATTCTGTAGATTCGCCCATATATATATAGTAGAATAAAAAAAAGAAGAAAGTTAATAAAAAAAAACTCACCTCCTTGGGGAAAAAATTGTGAGAATATTTTTTTGAAGGCTTCCTCATCGACAAGTCCAGTGGGGCATTCCTGCTTGAATCCACGATAAATAAGTTGAATTTCCTTTCGTGTGAACCTTGTGGTGGCAGCAAGGGTGGCCAATTCCTCTGGTCTGTGACGACCCCCAAGACTTAAGGCCCCCCCAGAACCCCCTAAAACGCCCCCGAGATCTTCAAGTTCAGCCTCTGCAAGATTCAATGGCCTTATCTCCTACGACACTGTATTACTCGTTCGAGATGCTCTTTTTCTCAGGTAACCAGTCTAAACGTGCACATGGATGCCAGAATTTTTACTAAAATATTCTTTTTTTCAATCGTCCAACAAGAAAAAAAAAACAGGAAAAATTAATTTTCAAATAAACTGATAAGAATGTTAACAGACTCCATGAAGGGCAGAGACAATGTATAGGAAGTGTTAAAGCTTTTCAGAAACGAGGTATTTTCTATGTACGTTATTTTTAAATTTTTCTGCTTATTAATAATTAATATTGTTAATTAATTATTTATTATTAATGATAATTTTAAAAATAATTGAGTTTTATTTATTTACTATTTTTTATTTTAAACATATTTAAAATTCTTACAAAAAATTGAATTTCAAGGGAATTTAAATTGAAATTTTTGTAAAATTGATTTGCTGAAATTTTTGTTTACCAATTACAGTCAATAATTGAATATTAATAAAATTTTAATTAAATAATTAAAAATAAAGTTTTATGAATTTCAAAAGAGATACTGTCATTATTTTTATTATTCAAACAGGAGATTTTAATTTGAAAATTTCCTCAATTTAAAATGCTAAAGACTTTTTTAAATCAATTTTAGAGAATAAATGAATTCTAGAAAATTTTTAATTGAAAATTATTTGAAATAATTGAATTTTTGAAGAATTTTATTAAAATTATTGAAAATAATTAATTTCACAAATACTATTTGGTTTCAATTTTCAAAATAATTGAATTTTAGAAGAGCTACAGTTTGGATTAAAAAAAGTCATCTATATTTTTGTTTGTATTTTATAAATTAATTAATTTATTATTATTATTATTATTATTATTATTATTGTAATTATTATACTATTATAAATAATAAGAATAATGTATGTTTTTTTTATTATTTAAGGGACAATAAACAAAATCAATTTATGACAATAATAAAAATAATTTGAAATAAAAAATGATTATAATTATATAAGTATATTTATTACAGTTCTCGAAAATAATTGACAGTATCAATTTAAAAACAACGTAAAAAATCCCTCGAGAGATTGATTTGATGCTTTTATCAAGTATCGGATGTATATATATATACGCGTATATATATATATGGCGCAGTTTATCAAATATGCGATAGTCATCAAATATTGATTTTCTGGTATGCTGAAAAATAGTGAAAAGCTACGAAATAACTCTAATGCTCAAGAGAAGTCATTAAAAGGAGAATTAATGGATAACTTTCGACAGAAAGTATAAGTAGAGTATTTAATCAATTATATAATGTCATTCTCATATTAATAATGCATATATATATATCTATAGATGGGAAATTATGAATAAAATCAGCTACGGAAAGTGGAAGTGTAGCAGGTTTTAAGAAAAAAAAAAAAAAAAAAAAATACATTACAGGTCTATTTTTAGAAATCGTGCGCTAATTATTTTTTTCAGTGCCAAAGGGAATAGAGATACACATTCTCAAGTTCTAAAAAATTGTGGAATAGATATAGCGATAGAGATAGAGATAAACGCAAAAAAAAAAATAAAAACCAGATTTTTAATTTATTTGGTATACAAAAAAAATTGTATATTTTATTTTTCATATTGAAAGAGTAATATATTTTTTTAGAAAGAAATTCAAACTAAAAAGTTTTATAACAACAAATAAATTTTTTAATTAAAATTGATATTAAATTTTGAAAATTAAAATAACTAAATTTTGTTATAAACTAATATTTTTTTCTTATTGAATGGAAAAAATTTTTTTTAAATAAAAACACTAGCAATTTTTCTTTTTGATATAGAAAATTATAAGTCACGGACGTACAATACAAAAGAGAAATCCTCCGTTATACAACTTGTCAGTAGAAATACTCAAAGTATTGTCAGACAGTGACTTAAATTAAATATACAAGAGAATTTCTTTCAATTTTTTTTTCCTCAAAATAAATTAAAAAAATTAATTCCTAATAAAATTATAATCGCAAATTTATTTTTCCGTTAACTATAAATTTTAATTTTCAGTTAAAATAAATTTCCTCTAAAAAAAAATTTTCCCAAATTAATACATTATTCAAATAAATTCTCTTTTATCATATCAACATTGAAAAAAAAATTTCAACGTATATAATAAAAACATTCCTAGACAAAAAAAAATTCTTGTAAACATAAAATTTGAACAAATTCCAAAACGATGTATTGTCCCTGGTGAAGAATAAATGATCGCCATAAGTCAAGGGAAATTAATGGACCGATCCATTAGAGTCTGAAGCAGATGAACTATATATCAGAAGGTCAGTTATATAGGCGCAGGCTCTCTTATGTTAAAAATGATTAAACAAAGAGAAAAAGGGAATCAAATAATCGAATCAGTTTATCGCAAATAGGTGATTTGAAAAATTTCGTCTATTTATTGAGTTTTTGATTTTTTTTTTTCGATCAATGCGAGAATATGAGAAGAAAAGAAACGGAACACCACACGTGGTGCGAGAAATTGTACGCGTGTGCGAGAAAGAAAAAGAAAGAATATATAGGCATCCACTGAACCTCTGCAACAGCTCCGCACAATCCCGGGCATCCGGGGTCACCATAGCAACCTAACCTCGTTTCCAGTTGTACATATATCAACTCACACACACACAAATTTTATGCAATCTAACGACATACCTAAAACCTACCCCAAAGACTCTCGTTAATTTGTTCAATGTGTAAATTATTATACTCAACGAGAGAAAGAGAGAGAATTCCATTTGCGAGCGTTTATCAAACGTTTCACTTGGGTGATCAAATACATGAAGCGTATGATCCTCTCGTGTCTCAGCAAATATATGTTTATAGTCAAGAAGAAAACATTTATTTGAATAATTAAATTTTCTTAAATATTTTTATTTTTATTTTAAATGACAAATTTTATAACTGTATTTTTTTTTTTTTTGTATAGTAAAAAAAAAGTTATACAGAGTGTTCCAGTCATGGGTGTACATATTAAAGGTACATATTGTACAGAAAAAAAAGTAAGACGAAAAGTCCTCTATACAGTTTTTCAAAATTTTTTATAGTTTTTGCGTAAATTGAAATTGAAAAATTAAAAATTATCCTATAATATTTTTGAATCTTTGACTAAAAATACAGTTTAAACTTTAAATGTATAAATAATTTAATTTTTGTTTTGAATAATTAAAATATAGATTCAAAAAAAAATACAATTTTCTGACAGTAAAAATGATTTAGGTATAACATAACCTAAAATTTGAGAATCGTTACTTGAGAAATTTTTATAATCTTCGTTCCAAACACAACTTTTATTATTTCAAAATGTTAAAAATAAAATTTTTCATATTATTATTACTGCAAAAATTTTTAATTACAATTCTTTTTTTTTTTATCAAATATACGAAAATGTGAAGTTAAACTAACTTTTGTTTTGACTGATATCTATCCGATTATAGGGGAAATTTACATACTTTTTTGTCCTCTTCTAATGCACTTACGCACGTGTTGTCATGGCAACACGTATATTAGAAAAGGACAAAAAAGTGTAGGCATATCTGTCCACGAGTGTAAATAATTTTACATTTCTATTAGAAAACTTAAAAAAAATTAAAAATTCTTAAATATAAAAAAATTATTACATTTTACTTTTTTTTTAAAAAATCCGTTTTCTTCGAAAATTAAATTAATAGCAACTAATTAATTACATGGATATTTGGTAAAAATTAAACAATTTTTAAATTTTTGCTTATTTTAAATAGTACTATTTTAAATAGTAATTAAGTATTAAATATTTTTTGCAAAAAAAAAATTTTTTGATATAAAAAAGATTTTCATAAATAAATCAAAAATAGTTTTAATAATTAAAAAAAGATATTTTTTTCAAATTTAAGATTCCTTTTTTTTAATATTTCAAATAAAATATTATTAATTGAAATCTTTATCATAAAATTTGTATTTGCTGATATTTTCGCTCTAAAGTATTCTTTTGAGAATGAAAGTAAAATTTTTAAAAGATCTAATCATTTATTTTATTATTCAATGGAATTCTTAAGTGCCATTAAAATTTTTCGTTACATCAATTTAAGTGATAATCGACCTACATATGTCCGCTCTATTAAATACATTTTCATAAATTAGTCAATATTATACAAAAACATTGAAATAAATATTGAAATAATTCACAAAAAAAATAAATTAAAAAAAAAAAAACAAAAAAATGTTAGAAATAGAAAAAAAGAATTTATTTAAATTAATTTAATTTAATTTATAAATTTAATAAATAAAGTAGTTTAATAAATAATTTAAAAAAAGAAAAGTATTTTTAAACATCAAACACAAAATTTACTATTATCTTTTTAATTCTCTTATTAACTTTTAATGAGAATAATTTATAAACTCTTTTAAACTTTTTTATAAGAATATTTAGGAAAGAAATAATGCATTAAATATTAAAAGAAACATTTAATAATTCCTTTAATTCATTTTCCAATAATTTCAAAATAAGAAATTCAATGTAAAAAATAGAAACGTATAATATTGATTAGAATCCACAGCAGCTAAGAATAATAGTATTATATATGATTCGTCCTTGTTGTACTTAAACTTCATTCTTTCATAAAACAAATATTTTCCACAAAAACAAATTAAAAAAAGATCTTTTGTAAATGAAAAATATTGATTTTATGTTCTGAATTCCTATTACAAAGCGCAATAGAAAAGAAAAATAAACATTTTTATTTGAAATAAAAAATTGATTTTTTCAACACTTTTCCAGTTTTATATTTTTTACTTGTATTATTTTTTTTTAAATTTTACTTTCATTCTTTTCTGAATTTTTTTTTTTTTTTTATTTACATTTTGTTACTATTTTATTTATTACTGTTGTTATTTCTCCATTATTTTTGTAGTTTTCATAATTTTGCAGAAATATTTCAAAATTAAATTAATTTTATTTTTTTATTTTAATATAATTTTATTTTT